ACGGCACCTTCGTTCAATTACGCCGGTTGGAATCCGCATGCCAAGGAGTCGTGGGGCACTACGGGATTCAGTGGACAGGGTAATGGACATCCGCCCAGCAAGGAGATTCACCTGCACATCCACGGAAATGCCCAAACCCAAGCTCAACTCGCGGGTCAGGGTTACCAGTACGAATCGCAGTCGGGAGGATGGGCCAGTCGATCGGATACGGATCCCTATGCAGCCTATGCACCCACTGGTCAGTTTACGAATAGCCAACCTGTGGGTGGAGTTGCTGGCGAGGTGCCTAATAACACGGACCCCATGTCCCTGCTGCCCACAAAATACAGGGCGCGGCGACTCATCCGCTGAGAAAGAGCTGGAGATGCCACAAGGAAGTCAACGACCACCGCGTTTAATTAGCTAGCACACATTTAGTCAGCGACTTTACGAGGACGCAGCTTTACGTACACCTAAAACTAGTTACGAATCAACTTAGTGTTAAACTAAATTATTTGCCCCAAGTAGCCCTAGAAATGAATAATTATTTGCCCCAAGTAGACATAGAAATGAATAATAATTTGCCCCAAGTAGCCGTAAAATTAAATGATAATTTGTAATAAATAGTATAAATTTAAAAGATGTGTGCCACCGTTTGTTTGAGCTAGCCGAAACAATTACCACTAAAGACCCAGAAGATCGTGATTGATGGGTCTGTAAAGAAAGTTCGGTTTGCTTTTGGCTGAGCTTTTTCGGGGGTCTGTGATTAATTGGCCATTTGACGGGTCTGCCACCGCTGAGATTGCTTTGGCCATCACATCGTGGGGCGTGTGCTGCGCCTAATCATCGGCTTTATCGCAAACATTGAAATGGAAGTCCAAGTCATGACTTGACATTGCGGATTTCTTCGACGTTGTCGAGTTGCCGTTTTTTTCGGTAGCTCGGAGGCTGCAAAGAGCAGGCAGACATATACAATTATGTTCAATTATTATGGAGTGGATAAGCCGATTTGTTTATTGGCAACTACCAGTGGGCCTGGCTTCGCTTCATTTACACAAAATATTAACTGAATTTGGCTGGAAAAGGTTTGGTTTGAGTAATGGATTGCTTTAATATAATTAGTTGATAGAGATATAATATCGGTTAACTTGAGTGTTGATTGATGGATTAGTGCTGGTACTGTGGATGTTGTTGGGTTGAAAAGTTAATTCACTAAGAGATATAAAGAGTGACTAAAAGGTCTTCCTTGTATCTAAATGGAAAACTAAGTCTAGATCGCGAGCTTGTATAATTTCTTCTAGAAAATTGTAAAACAGGTAAGATATAAAATCAGAATTATAAACCAAAGTTTTAATGAAGATTTGTCAAGAATTCAACACATTAATAGGAACATAGTTGAAAAGTCTAGGTTTAGGAGTTCTTTCTGCGAAGTTGGACTTAAAAAAAATACAAAACACGAATAACAAAAATGTTAATGTAGAAAAACCTATGGGCCAAGTTAAAACGGAAAATTATCCATAATCCGTTGCCAGATGTGATTAAAAATTTATTGTGATCTTGTTCATGTCTTTGCTACCATCAAAGCCCCAAAAGAGTGCCGCAGAGTTTTAAGTGATCCGCAAAGTAGGCACCACAATTGCTTGCAAGTTCGTGCCCTAAGTCTTTCGATTTGCCAGCATTAAAAAGCACTAAAAAGCCAAACACGCTCAACAGGTGGTATGATGAATATTAATATTAGCAAGGACCTGTTAATTAGCCCCCATAGAAAGTGAAGACAGAAGCAATTGACGGGCAATTAAGCAGTACTTTAGCGACAAATGCCGCAAATTAAAGCCGAACAAGATTGGGCCAACGGCGAGGTGCTCGATAAATATTTATCTGAGGCAATTAGAGCCGCTCAGACAGCCCGGCGTGCTTGTATCGACCAACCCCCCTGCTCTTTGGATACCCAATACTGGTCCATTGGAGTTATGGAATCTTGCTCGATGACTGATTTATAGGAGGACATACCCGATCTGGCCAAGATGCGGCGGTGCCAGCCATTAGCCAGCCGTCATAAGTGTGGGCCGGTGACGTTCGACTTGACTTGAGTTGACTGACGACTCCAGTCCGCCGCTGATGTCTTCTTTGTCGGCAGACGACGGCCTCAGCTTAAGCGCTTCAATTAATTAGTTAGCCGTGCCAAAAACAAAATGGCGCAGCTAAAAAGCAACAGTTGATAAGGCCAAACCAGCAGTAAGAGCAAAATGTATTAGGTGGACGAGTACAAAGCAGAAATAAATGAAAATGCACATTGAATTTCTCTGCTCGGCGGCTTTCTAACGCACAGTCAGTGGCCAAATGGCCAATGGCTCAGCGGCAAACTGCGATTATTGAAATACTCTAAAGGTTTTTTCTGCCCGTTTCATTTGGAAGCCAAAGCCAGCTTGGAAGCGACAAATCATGAGCATCGACAGATGCACCAGAGCCAGCATCTTTGTCTTTACTACATATAAAATGTGGATAATTGCGTCTAACTGACAGCCGAGACACTGGGCCTACGATCCGATAGCTCGTGGTGCACCAAGAAAAAATATTACATTAGTTTGATTAGAAATAGCTTACATTTTTTTTAAGTACAAGGTTAATATTTATTATCATTGCTTGACTAAATTGATAAAAGAGTAACTAAGAACACAGTAAAGACAAGTCAAAGAATATATTTAGGCATACAAAATGAAACAAATAAATATCGTTAAGAGGATAACAATAAATATATATTTAAGTTATATTTTAAAATTGAAAAACTCCTTTTACTCCAATTTTTAGGGAGTTCATTGAACCTTAAATTATAAAATTATATCCTATCCTATTTTATCCCAATACCATTGAATAGAATTTTTCATGAGAACATTACATTGGATTCTCTCTCTCAAGTACATACTACATATTACCACTTGATGTTATTTATTGTGTATGTTAAAAATCCATATAAAAAATTAAGAGGCAACTATTCTTAAGAATTTCTCTCTCTGTATGAGCCTGATTGGGGAGTTGGGGGTTGGGGACGTGCTGTCAGCGGATCTGGCTGCTCTCACTCTCTTTCTAACATGATAATTGGACATGGCCTGGGAACGGGTATCGCATCGTACCGCCGTTGGGATAGATGTCAGCTACCTATGGCCACCGTCTACCAACTACCAACTACCTTGGCGACATCTTTGGCAGCCCTATGTCGCCTTAATTGCCTGTCGCCCGTCTTGATGAAAGTGAAATTGATAAACGATATGCGAGATTCACATATAAACCCACTTATAAGCGAGCGTCATCACGAATTCTTCGCTAATTCGCCGCTCACAATGTACAATTTCGTAATGCCGGGGCTAATCAAAAATTCGGGCAGTGTTGCGAGTGCGTTGACCAAATAGGATTGGGGTCTCGATTCGGTTACACCTCGTTTCCAACTTCAATCTGACAATATCAATAAGTTGTGCAAACTTTCTTTTTGTGCGTGCCCATGTTTTGGCATCGCGCCCTCCGATATTTACTCTTTATAGTATCAGTTTTTGACGTGGGCCCAGCCCTTACACATAAATAGCATTAGTTCGCGAATAGCCAAAGTCAATTATGGGATAGATTTGAGTAAACAGCTGGAAAACTTTCATTTTTCATCCGTTCGACAGGTGAAATGTGAAACATTTCATTTCACAGCCAGAATTTATCAATGATGCAACTGTGTTTCGGTTTGCCTTAATGTTAATTTGCTTACCAAATCGTTGATGCAATATTTGAGAGGTGCTAATGAATTTCGTTGAGAAAAAGGTAAAAGTGGTAAAGGGGGTATGGTAAATAGTTTTTTGTTGGCTTCTCCCATCTTATGTGGGTGGAAATTTCTTTGCTGCTGGGAGCAAAATTTCCATTGAACAACCACCTTTTTGACCCAGTACAGGATTTGCATCTGCCATACAAGCATTTTGCCAAAGGATTAGCATCTCACGAGTGACTTTCCAAAGATATTTAGGAGTTCATGTGGCAGTGAAAAGAGGAGTTCAACTGGTGGGTTATCCATAGCATTTATTCATGATTGATGCAGATTATTCAGCCTTCTTCTAAACAAAGCTTGGGTATTGATATAAACGGATTTAATAACGTTACTTGGACTTTATATTGTTAAAAGAACCTGGTTTTTAATATGCCTTTTGTCATGCCTTTTTATAAGGAAAAATATTGTATAAGCTGATTAGTACAGAATTTGAAAGTTTTTATATATATTTGTCAAACGTAATAATATGTGTAAATATTAAGTACGCGAAAATAAATAAAATTAATATTTTAAGGAGTTTTTGCCTTTTTACATAATTCCCATTTTTTCCCAAATTATTTGATTATATTTAAAGCTGTTGATTAAACTCAATTTAATTTGGTTTACTTAAAACTCACCATTAATCAATTTAATAGTTTTTCTGTTGGCGACTGTAACAATAGTATTATTTTCAATTCGTTTAAGCAAAGCTTAGATATTCATTTAATGGGATTTTATTAGGCTATCTAGTGGATTTATTATGAAATAAAATTAAAGACACACAAAACACAAGCTGAATTAAATGTGTTTTCTATTTAAATGCTAAAACATCAAACATCTATTGTCTGGAGGGTGAATGGGCTCTTTTACCCAACTGACTGACACAATACCCGTAGAATACCTATAACATAGCTCCCTGCGTAGGTCAAGTCAAAGGTCGTTGGTTCACATATAGTCCCGAGAATTCCCCATGTCGCATATAGTGTCACACTCGAAATGCGCATAGCGGACAGCTTAATTGATCCGTTTGTTCAGTGCATGCCGCACATTTGCTAAAATCCACACCGGCCAACAACAAGTCAATAGCCAGAAGACCAAGTAACCAAGCAGTTGGCTCTCTTTTGGCCAGTTCGGTTGCCAACTTTCCAAAGAGCAACTTTCACATCGCACTCTCTTAAGTCGCGCTTTAGTATAAAACTTCTTACGTATGCGCGTCATGGCTTAATCTTACCTTGAACTTGGTCGTGAGCACATCGCTGAAGAGTCATATAGTAGTGCATCCAATATAACAATAATAATCGTGCGGTGTTCGATTTCGGGTTTTTCGAGAAAGAATTCAAAAATGGAACGAAACGCCGTTGTTCTTGTGCGTGCCGATAAGTGTGTATAAATCAAGTGTGTTGACTTTGGTTTCCACAGACATTTGATTTCATCTAACGGTGCTAGTGTATATATTATATATCCATATCGAAGAATAGAGGTATTTTCACCATCGAAATGGACTGGCAGCCGTGTATTATAGCAGGCCTGGTGTGTCTGCTCCTGCCATCGCAGATTTCCGTGGCCAAAGCCTGGAGTTTGCCAGCCCGCCATTCAGCTCAACTGGCTTTAGCACCAGCACCGGTTGGCCGACGATTAAATGGTAAGACAGCTCCCAATCAAATGAGAGTGCTTCAACTCTTTCGCTGCTCCCAAATTTCTCTATATTTTTATTTCTTATTTTTTGGTCGGGGAGTGACCAACCGCCACCAGACAAAGAAACAAAACATAAACAAAAACTTAAAGTAAAATACTTTTATTGCAGTGAAATTTCAGTTCATTAAGCGGAGTTGTGAGAGTGGCGATTTTTGTGTTTGGGCAATTGTATAATCGGCCAGCCGCCAAACGAAAGTCGCCACTGCCACTGCCACTGCCAAAGAATCGGGAAAGATTTATGAGCCTCCAGAGTAGCCACAGATCCGTCAAGACGTCATAGCTGCCAGAGCCAAACAGGCATCAATCTTGGCCAGCCTACTCTTGAGTACATGGAAAAAAAAGACAGATTTATCAGATCCATCTTCGTTTTTAATATTTTTCTGCTCTTAAAAATATTTACATTACCTTAAATTAAACCAAAATACTGTAGATTGTAATGAGCTATATTAATATTTACCAACAAAAATTCTGTTGAAATTCAGAATCATATCAACCTGATCTGTTTCTAACTGTTTTTATAATACAAAACAAGTTATAAGTATTTTTTCATTGAGTTTTAATTGAGATCTTTAAATGATTATTATTTAAACGGCTTTAAATTAAATGGAACATAACTGTATGTTAAAAATTTGTATGATTAAAAATTTAATACAATTTTTTTTGTAATCTTCAACACCAAATTTGAGGTTTTTTTATGTGCAGCCGTTTGGTGACTTCCATGGGCAATGCACCATAACAAACTAGCTTGCACGCGAGTTTGTTCTTACCATTTTGGATCTGATACGTTATGGAGCGTACGACACTTTTTACTTGGCCGCTGCTGTTTTGCTATTTTATACGCAAGCGATTTTGAACAAAAAGTCTTGAGTGCACAGCGAACAATTAGCAAAATGCCAAGGCAACAAGTGCAAGAAGGCATTAACCATTACCATTACCATTACCAGAAAGAAATACACCTCGTTATCGTTTAGGGCACTTGCCGTCTCGATCTGCTTCTGAGCATGTAATATGGGTCATAGCCAACTAAACCAGAACTAAAAGAAGGGCGGCTGGTTGGGTGTTACGATAGAGCCCGATTAATGTCGAGTCATTAAAGAACTGGCAGCAGAAACATGAATTAAAGTTGTGCTTGCTGATTATACGAATATCAAATACACTAAAGGCACTTAACATATGTAAATTTAAATGAAGTTACTTGAGCCATGTAAATTTAATGGGAAAGATACTATAGGGCTGGAATTTGTAGTTAATATCTCCGAACTGATATGGGTAAAGTTTACAAAACAAGCTTGTAACTTTTTCTTGCCAACTCATTGTTGTTAAAATTGTGCATTTGATTACATGTACAGTACTTTCAAGTGTGATACTTTTTAGTCACATTTTTTGTACCTGAAAAATAAGTGTAGTAATTTGAAGTATTCATATAATTTGTTGTCATCGTATGTTAATAAATGACAAAAGGTATTTAGGTATCTGGAAAATACATAAAATATATAATATTTTTTTAAATATATACCTTTAAGCAACAATTGGTAAAAACTAAAGTTACTTAACATTTTTTGGAAACAAAATTATTTTTAATCGAAATGCCATTTTGTACTCCTTTAAGATCTGCTAGTAATCTCCCATCCAAACCCCTAACTCATTCATTAAGCCCACCTCCCAGAGAGCAACACCTGTAAAAGGCAGAATAACAACGGCAACGCAAACAATACGAATGGATAAACAGCCGACCAGACAAGTTGATGTCTTAGTCGCGATACTGTCGGATTCAGTTGGTGACTACACCAACTTGGGTGTTGGGCAAACCCAAAGGGTACTGTGTGTATGGTGGGGAGGGGAAAATACCTGGGTCTCCATTCCGGGGAGCTTGTACAAATTGCGCCGACACCAAAAGCCAGGCGAGGCGAAAAAACAAAAAAACAACAGAAAAACTTGAAACACTCTCGTAATTGGGTTATAACCGTCATATTTGTATGTGAGAGTGTCCGAGACGAGTCACCTACTATTTAAATAAGCCCGGCACAAACGGGTCTGAAAATCTGACCAAAAGGCAAACAATGCCACTGGAAACCGCGGCTTAAATCACTCCTAAACGGAGCAACATTGCTGACATTTTTGGTCGATGCGCATAAAAATGAAAAGTGATGCTGCTGCTTCACTGGAATGAAATCTAATTTCATTTTTTAATTGTCGCTTTTCTGGCATTGGCATCTCGCCCAGTTTGGTAGCAAAACACGGCTGAAAAGATGGTCAAACTGGATGGCCACATGAAGCTGTAACTGCGTCTCCATCTGTCAAGTTTTGAGTCGCCACTTGGTTCCTGCGTAGGCATTGTGGGGATTTGGATTACAGCTTCAGTTGCAGCCGAATGCCGCACAGAAAAAAATGTGCAAATACTTCCATGATTGGTCACCGGATACTTGTCACTTAAAAGCCTGATCTTACACTCTAAAAAGCTTTGATGAAACTTGTAATCTAAAACAACTAATATTAAATAGATAAACAATAATAATAATAACAAACTAAAGATTCGCAGATGATACATGCATTTTAGTAAAACTGCATAAGTATTAGGGAAATAAAGTATCTAAGGATTAGCCTGAAATTTTTTCCGGTGCATCCATAGATTTGCCTAGCCAAACTGGAGCTCTAATCAATAGACAACATGTGTGGGGTTGTTTTTCAAGTTGTAGCTGCCGGGCATGTGTTGTTTGGCTTTTCAGTTTATTTTTAACTCTGCGGTTGACTTCGTCGACGGCGGTGTCTTCAATTCAAATTCTGCGCCAGATCGAAACCAGTGAAAGTTTATTAAAGTTTCAAGCTCGGCGGAACTCAAGCTCACATGTCTAAATGTCTATAAGTCAGCTGGGTCGCACGCTAACGGTTAAGAGTACCATATTGTTCCGTCCGATTTCTATAATGGCCATAAAATTCTTTTGTAATGAAGTCTGAGTTATTTTAAATGCTGAAACCACTAGATCATTGTATTTAATTCAGCTACCTTAAAAGGTTTGGCAGGGAATTAAAATGGAGAGTGCTTGGCTGGGGCTCAAGCAAAAAGAATCAATTTAATGATTTGAAGATTTTTAGAGCACAGTTAAAGACATATTTTAATCACTTTTTAAAAGGTTTTGTAGATCAATCTGGTTAATCTTATTAATTGTAGGTGGATAATTATTATATGCTCTTAAGGTTTTTAGGCTTACTCTTATACAAACGTACTCTTATGAAACCTTATCTTTGAGAAAAAAAATGTTAAAACATATTGCTTATTCCCTAACATAACTATTACTTTTAAAACCAAAACCTTCACTTTTGAAGGGTGTAATTTATTTACTAGTGTCTCGGAAAGTAAACCAAATGAACAAAATATATTTTTTGTACTATATGTAAGCCTAAAGCTATCAATACAAATTGGTTTATATTTTATAGTAATAGCTTTAAAGAAAACCGCTTATTTTTCAATTCACTTTCAAATGCCGCACACGATGCACCGTAGCCACATTTCATGTTTACAACTTAATCTGGCCAAACAAAATAAGTCAGAATTTTCAGTGATTATGCTAATATTTTACGAGCTACTGTTATGGCCGTTCCTCAGGCGAAGTAAATTAGCCAAGTGGTCAGGCAGTTGGCCCACATGCCCAGCAGTCCAGCAGCATTTTACAGTTGCCAGCTGGCGTTTACTAACTTATAAGTGCTTTATATATCCAAGGTAAATGCGTCACCCATCATCAAGCCAAGGCCTACCATTTTGCACCACCCATAACTATAAGTAAGCCACGCATAAACTTCAACTGCAGTGAAAGTTCATTTGATATTGGAAATTAGCTGGGACAGGGATTGCGCTTCGGTCTTGGTCGGTGGCATTAATGGCATTGGCATTGCCATTGAATTACCATACGCCCTGCCAACGAAATTGCGAAGAAAAGTGAAAAGACCAGAGGCCAAGGCAAAATGCATCGGACCAAATGGCAAAAGGCAACTGACTGTGGCCAGAATGGCTACTAAGCAGATCCCAAGCTGCTGAAAATAATGTGCCACATTTGTCGGTCAAAGAAGACGGCCGACAAATATCGAAGATGCTAGACAGGGAATACACTCGAAAAAAAAACAAACCTATCTTTTATTAACTTATTTTTTGAACAAAGATAAAATCATTTAAATTGCAAGATTGGTTTCAAGTGTTTTTGGAAGTTTTGTTTATGATTAGGAAGCCTTACTTTTGCTACTCAATTAATAAATACGTATATATGTATTCCTCCCATCAAAAACCTTTGATGACAATTTCTGCAAGTGCAGCACGAAGTGGCTTTCTTTGAACTTCCCCAGAGTCGTCGATTTTCCTCCGTGGCACTCCTTGCTCCCTTAGTCGGCGCATTCTTGGCACAGGTTTTCCAAGCTGTTTTTCGGTTGTTTTGCAGCGTGGGTCGAATTTAGCAGGATGTTATCTATGGGATGTCACCACGAGTTGCAGGTAAACAATTTCTCACAGGCTGTGGCACTGGTGGCATCCCCTGGCGGCTTTCACCCGGCATTGAATTTGGAAATATTAGCGAAGCCTTGGGTCAAAGTACGCGCTGTGTCGGTGTCATTGAAAGTGAAATGAGCCAAATAAATTGTGACAAAGAGACAAAAGACAACAAACGACATGAGAAAACCCACACGAAACGACATTAAATTTTCACTTATCACGACTCGTTCCATGTTGCAACATGGCAATTAAATCAACAAAAGGCCTAAGCAAATACTAATGAAAATAAGTAGTAAAAATAATGCCTCAATTTGTACGAAAATATGGAAATTGTGTGTCATCAGTGAGAGGAAAATAAGCATTGCCTTTGGGGCAAGTAGTACTTTTGGCACCAGACTTTTTAATGAAATTATTTAAATCAAATACTTCAAGTCAAGTTCCCATGCCAGTTTATACAGCATCAGCTCTTCTTCTCAGAGTGATTTGATTATGTTACTCAGTAAAATTGTACTTTTTGAATGGATTTTCTACTATTATGTTGGATTAATAGTATATGTACAAAGTATTTGTCTAAAACTATTCGATAAGAAAATAACTGTATGTCAAATTCTTTTTTTCAATTACTTATCTTTTGATTTTCAAGTAAAAGTATTTAAGATTTCAATGGCGTCGTTGTCAAAGCGACAAATTAATTTATTCCCAATTAAATGGGCTCAAATTAAGAGGCGTTTAAGTCGGACAAGCAGCAATAATTTTAATTGATGGCAATCGCTGAGCATTTTCACTCCATCGCTGATTGATGGCAATCTTTGATGTTAACTAAAACATGGCTCGCGCCGCGAACAAACGTAGCTATTGGGTATCCAAGGGGGGTAAAATCCATCTGCACGCACCACACATCGGCTGTTCGGTGGTGCAGATGGTGGTTAGCACCACCGGGCCAGAAAAACCACACAAGGTGTTGATATGATTACCCAGTGGTACTGTCGTCGAGTGGTCACACATACTTTCACTCAAATATTTGCAGTGGCTGGAAATCGCCACATCCATAGCCAAGTTAAAGCCATGACCATGCTGGCCAAGTTAGCCAAATCAGACCACAAATCCCCACTGAGCTTGGCCCGACGAAAGTCAGTCGAGCTGTCAATCTCCAGTTTGCCCAATTCGTTGGCAGTTTTCCATCAAATATTTGACCAGTCTTGCTTTATATTTACGCAGAGGTATCACCATATCTGGACCTGGCCTTGTGCCCCATTCGAGCGGAGCCCTGGACCTGTGCCCGCCAACAATCCGGCCGAATTCTGGACGCCTGGGACGGAGAGCTCCATCTTCAGTGGCAAAAACTTAAAGGTCAGTTAGAAAACCAACACAAACAATTGTACAAACAATTTTAGTTTTTATGAATACTGATTAAAATTAAAATTAAAATTTTATAATCAACCAAAATCAATTTGAAAATGTTGTATCCATCATGAACCATTAGATAAAAAGTAAAAGAATAATTTACTTTAATTTAATTTTAATCCAACACTAAAAGAAACTTTTTAATTAGGCATTCTGGAAATCTGTTAATTAGTCAAGAATATTTTAATATTTTTATCCACGAGACATTTTGCCAAAAAATGAATTTAGCACAACCTTCAATTGTTGGCAGCTACAAGTGGGAAATATGTTTATAGACAAAGATCTTCCCACATATGTGTGAAGAGAAAAATCCCAGCAAAGAAAATCTGGCATTTTCACCAACCTCCAAGCTAAACTTTAAGTTCAAACAGCTATTCGTTGGTGAAAATCTAGCCAAAAGCTAAAGGAAACCCCAAGGTTTTCTGATCACTGAATGCGATAATCAATGACTTTAGGGGAGTTGGTAGGAAATTGTACACGCAATACCCAAAAAGCAGCCAGCGTGCTAGGAATTTACATGAAAAAGCAATTAAAATCGAAAGCATTTTCTTTTTTCTCACAATTTTATTCATTTATTTTTTTTTGGGACAGTCGAGGCCGATCGGCAGATGAATGCTACGATCGAGAGACGCGGCTACAGCACCTCGGAATTGCCCGTGAAAGAGAAGCCATCGACGATACTGAAGAAAATTGAAATCGGCACGAATTATATGAAGAAATACCTGGCTGAGTCCATGGATGGGTGAGTGTGGACAAACGAGTTGAATGCACATTTTCGCCATGAAAATTCATGTCTTCCTGTTTTTTTATTCGCCACTACCACCTGCAGCTTCCTAGGTCGGGAATACGAGTATTTGCAGACACCGAAAGCTGCGGATGATGATAGTGAAACCGATCAGAGTGGAAATAGTGTCGAAGATGACGACGAGGCGGATGCAGCGGAAGATGCGAGCAATGCGGCTGAGGAGGAAAATGCAGATGATGAGGAGGCGGATGGGGATGCCAATAATGAGGAGGAGGACGAAGACGACGACGACGACCAGGAGGAGGAGGATGATGACTCGGACAGCACCGCGGAGCAGGAGAAGGAACCAGAGCCCCAAGCTGAGGCCGAAGACGAAGACGAGGATGTGGACGAGGCGGTGTCGGCACCAGAAAGTGAAAATGAAAAGGAAAATACACCGAATGTGTTCAGTGGTACTCCCGCTGCGCAGACTCAAAGCGATGGGAAAAATCCTGTATTTAGTGAGGACAACACTTCCACAGGTATTTATTTATTTCATTTATAACGAACCTTACCTAAGAGAAACAATTGGGCATAGTTTCTTTCAAAACTTAAATTCTTTCGAAGAAAACCTTTTTTAAAGCTCATGAAGCTTCTAATGTTTATATGTAAGCAATTATAAAATCAGCATTTGAGATATCTGTTTTTGTTAGGTGTCTATGAGTTAATTAATATAATTTATTTCTTTTATTTAGGAGTCGAATTCATCGAACTCGAGGACGCCGAGGAAAACGAGGCGGGTGCACTGAAAAAACCGGGAGCTGGTAAGCGCAAGAAGAACAAAAAGGGCGGCAAGCGCAAGAAGAAGAACAAGAAGAAGGGTCAGGGTCAGGAAACACAACCAGCCACCTTGGTGGTGGTCCAGGCGGCGCCAGAGCACCACGAAGTGGATTCAGGACACGATCACGGATCCTCGGTGATTAGTCATGGGAGCAGCGATGATGACGATGATCACGTGGGAAAACCCATGAAGAAGAGGAAACAGAAGCGCCGCATGAAGGGCAAGCGGAAGCGCAAGGGTCAACAGGGGTCAGCAGTGGTGGAGCACGAGCAGAGCGACCTGAGTCTGGGATTGGGTCTCCTCGACGAACTCGCGGATGCGGATGACGTCTTCTCCGGAGTCGGCGGTGGAAAGCGCAAGCACAGGAACCCACTTAATTATGGTAGAAGTAACGGAGGTGTGTGTTGTTTGCTGCGTGTGGTTTTACATGACTTTTGCGCACCGTTTATTCAAGCACAACTTAGTGCCTTCTATGTCTAAGTTTCCCGTTTCGTTTCAAATGCAGAGTGTTTTCGGTGGACAAAACTATATTTATCCATGAAAATACTACCAATATTTACACAAAATTATAAAAACTCCACCGAAAACAGTCTACAGGCTTACATATAAGTTTGGTTTTTACATAAAGTTTTGTTCTAAGGTGTTGGGAAAATTCTAAAGAAATGGGATACTACACTTATTTCAAATATATGTATTTAATATTATTATTTTTTTAGCTTGAAATCCCTTAAATCATATTTTATTCAAAATACCAATTTAAATTTCAAAATGAAGTGGCGCCATCTGTAGGATTTACGTAGAAAGCTTATTTTACACGGTTTGCTGTGTAGATGGCGCTGCTTTGGGTTAACTACATCTGAGAAGCGTCAAACTTTAAATAGGTGTTACTTTAATTTACAAACCTTTAATTTTAGCTAAGAAACAAAATTAAAATGTATAGATTCTAGATTCTATATCGTAAAATATTTATTTAACTTATTAATGATTAGGTATTAATTAAGGCATCGTTTTTAGGCAACTATTAAATAAGTTTTTGGTTTAAATTTTAAGTTTGTTGCCTGTTTTTTGCTTGCTTTTTGAATGCCGTTTCGTTATCGTTACGCACTTAACGCGCACTGCAGTTCATACTAACAAACACCACCCTCCCAAGCGAAGAATTACATATTATTTTCGTTTTTGTTCCATTTAGCCAAGTAAGTGTGGACCATAAAGAGCTAAGCGAAACTAACATACTCGACATTATTTTGAACATCTTTTTTTAAAAAACAATTAGTGACCCGTGGCAAGAAGAAGAAGAAGAAGAAGGCCATCGCCAAGTTTATAATGATTGGCAGCTTCCTTAAAGCCAAAATTGAACTGCTGCTAAAGATTTTGGGCGCCCATCTGCAGGTCAAGTTCTTTGCCATAGCCCTAATTGGTCTGCTGATCAATATAGCTCGATTCTGGATCGATGTGAAACGCGGCAGTCCGCCATCTAAGGTGAGTTGAGATTGGGTCCCAGATCCTGTGAGTTTGTTCCGGGTTAAAATTCCTTTTGTACCGACACACACGAACATTCTGTTCAGGTTGCTAGACCAAGGTTTTCCTTCCCGACATTAATGAATTTTCTGCACTCTTTCAGTTCTGATAAGAATGTCCTTACACTAGACACAGCGGTTTTTATTGGCCAAGGTTTGTGAAAGGCGCTTTTTGTTTTCCACCAATAAAGAGCTCTTCTCACATTTATTTGTACACAGAAAAAAACTTCTTCTGTTCAATTTATGTTTATTTAAGACTATTCAGCTCAATTTAAATATTTAATTAACTTCTTAAATTTAGATGTTTTCATATTTTACACACTCCACCATTCAAATTATTGAATTAGTTTGTTATTATTTTAAAAAGACATTTTAAAGCTAAGTTCATTTCTTATTGAATCGGAATCCAGTGACTTTTGGTCACCTATTTTTCTGTTTACCTCTGCTAATCTCTATCCACCTGCCCCTGCCTCTCGACTCTCTATCTCTCCCACACAAGATGTATATAAAGATTGTAAAATGCGTTGTTACCTTCCAAAAAACACCCGAGCGCTCTAACTACTCTAACTGTTTTCTGGGCACCAGCTCCAGAACTTCTTCAAGCTTCAAAACACCAGAGTTCCAACCACCTAACGACTCCAAAATGTGCCGTATGCTAACAAATTCAGACCTTTTTGGTTTCAGATATGGTAAAATTTTGGACAGCTCACAAACGTTTTCGGAACGTACAACTCTAATAAGAAAAAAAAAAACCAATGTGTTCACTAATAACAGTTTAACACTTTAAGACCCAAAATCTAAAACAGATTCGCTTCCAAAGACCTTCCCTTCACACTGTGTAAGTACGAGTTTTGGGCGGATAAAGCAAAGTGATGACTTTGAAAGAATCCCGGCGAGACAGACAGACACATTAAACTCGAGACACACCCAGTTACAAAAATACAGAAATACTGAACCACTCACACTCTTGGGCCTCTTTGGTACTTCCTCTGGTGTTTCTCACTTCACGGCACACGTTTTGCATATTTTCTAACTAGGTTGTATACGTTGAACATGCCCACCATCAGCACCACTACGAGGATCATGGGGACGACTGGAGCGAGCCGGGAAGCTACTGGAAGCGATCCCTGCAGACGGATCCTTCGGTCGAGGACGTGGACTCCTCCACGGACAGCTACCAAGTGCGCCAGACCCAACAGCAATCCCAGGTCCAGGATCCACACTATCTGGCCTATCGCAACCAGTACAACCAGTGGCAATAGATGGCCCACACCACACCACCCCACTGAACTCCAAACTCTGACCTCCAATGGAGACATAATTTATTGTATTTATTTTGATTTACTTCGTACTACGATGCTGATTATTAAATAATCCCTAAGGTCCTAGAGCAAAATTAATTTTAGCACAATGAAAGAAATGCCAGTAAACCAATTTTAGCTTTTAACCCTTAGCCCCGATAGTGCAATGCCTTAAATATAAAACTAAATTTTAAATAATACGCGTACCTTTAACGAGAAATCGAAGAATTGTTTTCGGATACATTCGCAGCGATGAAACCAACTAGACTTAAGTTATTTATGCAAATTATTTATTGTATTCGTATGTTATATGATGCTTATTAAAGAAAACAAATTTTAAATTTGTCATTTTATTTGGAGAACATCAACCAATTGGTTTGTTGGCCAAGACACAGTTTTGTTATGGTCAAAATACAGACTTTTTCGTCAAAAATCAGAGTGGGAAATCCAAAAATGATCTGTTAGGGTGTTTTTGGTTCAAATCTGACGAAAACGGGACCCAAAACTGATAAATCGATTGCTCTAACCACTGATAAACTTAGAAATCGACCCCATTAGTGTTTGTTTGATTTTAAAATATACATTTTATTTTAAAATTTTAAAGAATATGAAATCTAATAAAGAACAATTACTTCAAAATCTCGAAATACCATATTTGATGATTTATAAATATTATTTGTATAACAAATTATTATTTCTAAATTATCCAAAAATTTCCGATCATAACTGCCGCGTCATTTCCTGCCTGATCACCTGAACTGGGTTCCCCAATCAGAATGCGGTCAATTCTCGTTGGAATTCCGAAAGAAGTTTCACCTGCTGGCCCGTGCATTTGATTCTAATTCCGTGGCCCAATTCTGGGCTCCGTCCCCTTGGGACTGCTCCGTAATACGAAATAGGGGCGACGTGCGCCCAAAATAGTCGCGTCTCAGGGCCCATTAATTGTTTTTGGGTGTCGCTGTGGGCCCAAGCAATTTGCGCATGCGCAGATCGCTTTCGGAATGCCAAATGATGTTCGCAAAATGTTTGTAATAAGCTATTAAATGTGTGTTTGACAAACGTCTGACAAGCCGAGCGCCGAATTTATGGCTAATAAATCTGACTGCATTGTTCGGGACACTGAGGATATTTATTACTTGAAACCTTTGGGTTTATTTAAAATATGTATAAAGCAAAGTTCAGAAGGGCGAAAAGAAAGTCAAATTAAACCTAATCACCTTCACATGCATTCTCACACGTTTGACTGCTACATTTTGATATTGACCTTGTTTAAATTAACTGAAAGAAAACCTCAGGCCATTAAAATGCAGCGTGAGGAAAAGCAAATTGACATGCCGCAACACGCTCGTTATCAAGTGGGAGTTTCGTGCAAAGAAATGCTTATCATTAGCAAAATTAAAATCAATGAAATTGGCCATAAAAATTCAATTGACTTGGCCCAATGCGTGGGAGCAAGTCCAAGTTCCAGCTCGGATCGGATTGAAATGAATTGGATGGGGATTTGATTGGGACTGGAACCGAAGGTGTCTGGAAACGTGTGCAACATAATTTATCATAAGAGAAACAGAAATAGTTTAGTTTTCAGCACTTTCTAAACTACGCTTCTGCACAGAAAAAAACTGGATTATTTGTAAATTTATATTAAAAGTTGTTTTTAGGACTGATTTTTTAACTTAACAATTATATATATCAAAATAACACACAGATGAAACAGATAAAACTAAATATCATTTGGATTTTAAGAAATCCATGTTTACTTCTTTTTATCACCTAGATTTTTGTTAGCATTTGTAATAAATTATGGACTTTTTGCTATTTTGTAGATATCAAATTTAAGTCAAATTCACATTCTAATAAGGGAACTATTATGTTAACTATATATTGTATATCTTACATTTTGAACAGAAGTTTAAAAAAAGGTGTTATATTTGTCATATTTAAATAAACATTTATTGCTGTTCTGCTACTGATACTTTCCAATGTCCACACATAGAGGCAAAAAAATCCATTTTAAAATTAAAAAAATTACCATTTTTCGCAGTGCATTTCGGACTTTGGTTTATGTTTAAAGTGGGCGGTGGTGTCGATCTGGATGTCTGGTGGGTGTGGCCCCTGGCCATATATCATGCAGATACGATCTGTTCTCGATATGTTGCCAAAAAAACCAAAATCACTAAAACAATCAATTGAAATTCTCGCTGCGCGAGTTTTTGCTCAATGGGGATTGGGTTCGGGTGGAATAACGGTGAGGGTAACGTGCAGTGTTTGCGAAAAATCATAAATACTATCAATGGATTTTGGCCAAAAGGAAGTGTGCGTGGGTCAGGAGGTTTGGCAAAAAGTGTTTTCGATAATTTCTAAGCGCGTTCCACGGAATGCTCTACTAAGTGACAGGCGACGACGTGCCGCTGTCAGGTGAACTGTCAACTCGGGCATTTGATGGAAACTTAATTAATTTAACTGTCGCTAGAAAGTGGGCCTGCATCGCCCATTGCCCATTGCCCATCGCTCCATCACGTATACGCAGCGTGCACGCGACTCTGTGATCAGTGGCAGAAAATGAAGGGCCAATTCCACACATTTTAATTCCAACGCCCACGTGTTTAATTTCAGTTTCTGAAATTGAAAAGCACTCATGATTTTCCATTGCAGTGCAATTTGCATTTTAGAAAGTTACATGTTTTTTTTCGCTGCATTTTAACCGAGGCAGAAAACCCCAAAAGTACAAAAGAAAAAGTCAAAGTCCAAGAAGAATTTTCGCTGTTGCATTTTTCAGACGATATTTAAAATAAAACCCATTCAGGCTATAACCCCCACTCTTCTCCTTCTGTCTATTAATAATTTTATTTATCATAATTCAAGTCATGATTCTCAATTTTGCTTGGACGGAGAATTTCTGCCCGAACCTCAAAACGTCGACTTGTTGTCAACTGGCTTATCTTTGCACGATTCGCTCTGGGTTTGGGCCCTTTATGTCTTCTTTTACTGGCAAACATAGCATGCAAAATGCATTTCGCGTTACTTTGTTGCCAAGTGCAATAAAAAACATGAAGGCATGCCTATCATGGGGCTTTAAGAATTTGACTTAAGGGAGCAATAAAGGGTTCTATTCGGAGAACTTTTTTATTTAATCCGTTTTATAATTCATTTCCCGCAACAAAAAATATATAAAATAATAAATTTGATTTATTTATTAGACTCCCATACATGTTTTGGTTTTTAAGAAGCGCTTAGATGGGTTAATTTCATAGTAATGACTTAGTAAAGTAGCTTTAAGCAAAAGTCTAAAGCTTAAAACCAATGTATAAATAAGATAAATATATATGAATGATTCCCAATGCATAAATTGTTTTAAACTTTTATTTCCTTGATCTAAAAAATAAAATAAGATAACTGGCATAATAATATTCTTGGCATAAGTATTTATTTACTTTAATAATATTTAGAAAATGCAGTGAAAGTAATGTTTATAGAGTAGCTTTATTGTTTTCATTCCATTAACATACAAAGTTATCAGAGAAAGACCTTCACAACAAGATCTTCCTGAACCCAAGTTCTTACTTAGGCTCATTATTATGCCAGGAGCTCTCAGTTCACTTACAAGATGAACAACATCAGATAGTCAAAAAAAGCGCCTGTGATCTACCGCCTTAAAGTTTTACAAGTAAGTACAGCCATGACAACTAACTAGCGCCACAGGCAGTCAATACATAATTAATAAGAAATACCATAATAATTATTATAGCTATTTCCGATGCCATTGGCCTCTGAAGCTTTCGCTTTTTTGAGCTGGGGAGTACGTGATTTTGATAGAACCTGGGGATAGAGAGGGAAGGGCAGCAAACACTAAACATGAAATTAGAAATTCATAATTGTCGCGTAATACGGCACCACAAAAACTACGTGGACTTCGATTGCGGCTCGTTCGCATGCGAAATGGTAGCACACCATTCTAAATTGCTAATGCGCCTTAATAGGCTTCGCTTGTTTTGGGAGTTTCGGATGGGGTTTATTTTTGTTTTTTAGTCTCTTCTTTTTTTTTTGGGGTGTGTGAAAGTCACTGCCTGATGATATTTCGTTTGTTGCATAATCCTTCCACGCAAAATGCCCAGGGCCAAGCCAATGAACCCTATCGAATTTTTGTTGGCCCATCTCTAGAAGAATCATGCCATACAATATACCATAAAAATGCAATCTCACGTCGTTGCCGGGGCAATCTTTCGAGTGTAATCTGCTCTGTGGACTCGTGTCTTCGTCACCCATCCACCTCTTAATGGACAAACAATTTCTTGGTAATAAAACATTGTCACCCAACTAACTGGGTTCTCTTGAAGTAATTTGCAGCCGGAACTTGAGAATTCTTGAAAGAAATGAAGGATTCTTTTTGGATTTAATTAGGTATTTAGTTTTAATTTGAGGGGAATCACTTCAATAATATGGATTTTAAAATGGAATTATTGAAAACTTTATTCAGCAAATTATATAATGATAATTCCCTAGAATCTCTCTAACGTCAGATGCTGATCATGGGAATTTCTGTTTCGAGGGGGTTCCGTTTAGGAAGATCTTGAAATAAGACATCATTTAAAAATATATATATATATAATATATGTATAGTCGATGGCCACAGTAGCTAGTTACTCCTTTCCCAAAATTAGTTATTATATTGTAAATGCGATTTATGTATAATTAGCTAATACTGAAATAAATAAATAAATAAAGAATATATTGATAGTCTGAAACCACACTTTACAAGTTTTCTTCCCCTTTTGCAACTGTGTTAAGTCCAGAATAAATTATACATTTTTTTGAGGTACATTTTAAACTCTTACAGAGAATGTTATTTAATATAATATTTTTGGGTCTCCAACTTAACTCATCAAAAGATCATTTTCATGACCATCATCTTTTGTACCACTCTTCTTCGTTTGGCTTAAGTTCCACACAATATGAGTTCCACATACGACGGCACACTTTAAGCGCATGCGCGCCAAACTTACCGAAACCCACACCAACACACTATGCGTATACGCAATGTCACGTCGGCGGATAAGAAGAGGGTTCCACTTGGTAATGGTGTGTGATTGTAATTGAGTTGTTACTGTACCACAGTACCCACCTTTCTTCGGGCTGCTTCTCTGTGTGTGCGTGACTCTTCGGTTTCTCTGCCTTTTTGCATTCTTAATAAATCAACGCGAAGAATATATAAATTGGGCGTCGCGGTGGACGGTCGCAGTTAGTATTTTCCAGCCAACGGTGCCTCACAGGTGTGCTTAGAGTCCGCAGTGCGAGTGCAAGCCTTGGTTTTACTTTAACCCCATAAATCAGCCTGGATATCGAATTGGATTAAACACCACCCACAATATCACCAGAAAATACCCAAAAAGAAAAACACCCGGAGAAACGGATTATCAATTGTTTGTAGTGCCCAGTGATTATATATAGTGACCCCATCTAAACTGATCTAAACTGTTTGTGAAAATGTGGAAAACCGTGTGTTTGCTGCTTGTACTGATGGCCACCTGCAACGCAGGACCACTAAGTAATCATCAGGTGAGTGTTAAAGTCCAGTAATCGGATATATCCAGCAGACAGCTTGACCACCAAAGTCCACTTCCGTTCGCCTTAACGGAAATGGGAAACTGTTAATGAAATGTTTGCCGGCCCGCCGACGAGCCATACGCTTGAAATTTTAATGGGACACGGCCTGGACTCACTCAGATTTGCATATTTCAATATGACTCTCCTACATCTTTGGCCCGACTTATTTGGTATGCCAAGCGTTTAGCCTTTTTTAACGGCCATGACTGAAAGACTTGGTCTAAGGTATTTATAGACACTCTTGCAGGTGGCTTAATGACAGGTAGAAGCCGGCAAGAATTTGCAGGGAAATCACTGAAAAAGATTCCAAGAATTGCCAATGCCAGAGTCTTCGGTTTGCATTACTCATTGAAGGGGACCTTTTTCGGGAAAGGTCTCTGTACGACTGAAAGTTTTGGCCCCAACTCATTAAAATGCAGCGCCCAAAATAATAAATTAATAACAAATCCATATGGCTAAAATATTATGTGATAATATTTCAGTGTTTCATTCGAAAGTGACTTCAATTGCAGTGCGGTCCATAAAAGGGCGGCAACAGGTGCGAAGTGCACAGTGGGTTGGGCTTAGGGTCTCCATTTCGATTCAATTCGATTCGATTTAATTTTCACTTGCCACCGCGTAGACAAAAACTAGAACACAAGTGAAATTTTTCGGGTGCCTAGCCGATCGCAGAGTCACGTGCTGGGTTTATCAGGTTGTCCATGCTCATCACGTAACTCGTTAGCTGAATGGATCGTACAGCTGGCTAATCGTACACCGAAAATAAAGTTTGGTTACTATATGACAATAGGATTAACAGATTCCAGAATTATATTTTGACAGATTTACATTGCAACCATCATTTTATAGATTAAAATAACTGTCTAATTTGAAAGGAATATAAAGACACGTAAAAAAGGCTTTAGGAATACCGCCAATTTAAATCAAATTTATTTCTTCTATTTAACCTTTCTTTATTGTTTTGCTTGTTGCACCATATAAAATCTTAACATAGAATATTTTCAAATAGAAACAAAGAATATTGAAATACTGTTTAGTTTGTTATTTGGCTATAATAATCATCTTTATATGAAATACAAAGATTTCAAATGAATAATACTTCAGTATACTTTCGCATACTTAAAAGGGTAAGGACTTAAAAATGTGTGTGCACGACATGTACAAAACTTATTGTTGTATCAGAAACATCCATATTTTAAATGATAACCAAATTGTTAAAGACATCAGTCTCTATGGAGTTTAAAATTACCTACAACCTTTCTGAGCTTTAATTTTATATAGTGGTTAAATTCACTCTAAACATATTGGACAAGGCTTCAGGCTAATAATATTTCCTATCTGTATTTACAGAAAAGAAAAGCTCCAGTGACTCGTGAAGATCCTCTGCCAGCTGAGGTGGAAATGCCGGAGCAGACCGAATCGGAGGCTGAATCCGCTCCGGCGGAGGCATCTTCTCTGGGAACCCTCACCCTGCCCAGCAATGCCACATCCATTCGATCGGACATCACGGATAACTTCTCTTGTGCCAACAAGACGTATGGCTACTACGCGGATGTGGAGAACGATTGCCAGATCTTCCACGTTTGCCTGCCGGTTACCTACGCCGATGGACGGGAGAACACCTTCCGCTGGAGCTTCATCTGCCCCGAGGAGACGATCTTCAGTCAGGTGGGTGCTCTCGAAATGATCACTGTAATTTTTGTATAATTAAAACACGCCCTTCCAGGAATCCTTCACTTGCATGCGTCGCGAGGACATGACCATTGAGTGCGAAGATAGCTCTAGGTACTACGAACTGAATGGCAACTTTGGTGCTCCTGCGGAGGAGGAGAGCAAACCCACTCCCGTAGAAAGTGAGCAGCCGGAGAAGGAGGAGTCGGAGCCCAAGCCAGTTGAAGTGGAGCCAGAGGTTCCGGCTGAGGAGCCAGAGGTCCAGCCCGCCAAACCCGTGAAGCCAGTAAAGGTGCAGAAGCCCAAGCCCAATCGCAGGAAGCCACAGCCCCAGAGAAAGGTTCCAGTTCCCGTGCCAGTGACAGCTGCTCCTGAGGTGGAAGCTGCTCCAGAACCAGTAGCCCCCGTTGAAGTGGACTCCAAGCCCATTAAGCCACAGCGTTTCACCATCAGACCCAATAAGGAGAGACCCCAGGCGATAAAACCAGCCATTGTGGCTCCACCCATGCGTAATGAACTCTTCAATGGAATCCGCAAGCGTCCAGCGATTTTCAATAAGCCTACTACCGTAAAACCAGTAGAGGAAGTGGTGGATAGTGAGCCGGCAGTTACAGAACCTGTGGTCCAGCTCAGTGAACCCCAGCCCACCCTGAAACTGCAGACCCTGTTTGCAGAACCCGAAGCGATTCCCGCCGTAGAGGTCCAGGAACCAGAGGTTCAGGCTTCTGAGCCAGCTGTGACTTTTGTCCAACTAGAACCAGTAGATAAAGAGGGGACTCCCGAAAAGTTTGAGATTGATACCAGGATTGAGGATGTCAAGCCAATTGAAGCCTTTGAAGAAATTCCAGCTGTCATAGTGGAAAGTTTGGATGAGTCAAAGCCTCAGGACAGCGAGACGAAACCAGAAGCGCAGGAGGAAACTAAGATAACCGAAGAGGCCAAACCAGAAGAAGATACAAAGTCAGAACAAGATAACAAGCCAGAAGAAGATACTAAGCCAGAAGAAGAGATCAAGCCTGAAGAAGAGATCAAGCCTGAAGAAGAAATCAAACCTGAAGAAGAGATCAAGCCTGAAAACGAGATCAAGCCTGAAGAAGAAATTAAGACAGAGGAGGAAATCAAACCAGAGGAAGAAATAAAACCAGAGGAAGAGATCAAGTCAGTGGAAGAAATCAAACCTGAGGAAGAGATCAAACCAGAGGAAGAAATCAAACCAGAGGAAGAGATCAAGCCAGAGGAAGAGATCAAACCAGAGGAAGAGATCAAACCAGAGGAAATACAACCCGAAGAGGACCCAGAAGTTCCAGCCAAAGTAGAGGAAATTCATGAAGTTATTCCCGAGCAAATCAAATCGGATCCAGCTATAATCGAAACCAGCAATTCCAATGAAGATCCCCTGAATCTTGAATCTTTGGAAGCAGCCAAGCCAGCAGATGCGCCCGAAAGTATGCCGGCCACTCCCGAAATGGAGCAACATAGTGCGCTGGTAGAGGAAATCCTAGATAACAACCATGATGGGGAGGCTCAGGAATCCCTGGGAGGTTTCAAGCCTGTAGATCCTGTGATGGCCGCCGAGGCAGAGCAACTGATCACCGACTTTCTGAACACCCTAAAAAAGAACGAAGAGAAACCAGAGACTGAAATGGCAGAGAGCATTTTACCACAGGAGAATGCGGATGTGTCCATTGAAGAGGCTAAGCTGCCAGAGCCCGAAATTGTGGACAAGAATGCCTCAGTTGAGGAGCAACTGCTGGAGGAATCGGAGGTCCAGAAGGCTCAGAAGCCCCAGATGATGCAGGATTCCCCTATTATTAACATTATGCAGCTGCACCATATGCCCATGGACTATCAGATTCCAGTTCAGGTGATTCCCGTTGAGGTCCAGCCTGTTTCCGCGATCCCTGAGGAATCAGAGGTCACCAAGGAAAGTGCTCCTGAGGAACAAAAGGAAAGTGCTGCCGAGGAAATCAAGGAAAGTGCTCCTGAAGTCATTCCCGACGAAGTTAAGGAAGCTGCTCCTGAGGAAGTCAATGAAATACCTAGCGAGGAAACACCTGCCGAGGAACTGAAGGAATCTACTCCTGAGGAAATCAACGAAACTATTCCCGAGGAAATTAAGGAGACTTCCCCAGAAGAAATTAAAGAGTCCGAACCTGAAGTTGTTCAAGAATCCCAAGATGAGCTGGTGGCAAAACCAGAGGAAACTCCTTTAAATGACGATCCCCAGGAGACCCTTGTCACCGCCTCCTACATGCCCTCGATCAGCATCGATGACATTGTGGAGCTGGTCAAGGAGCGCCTGGATCAGACGCCCAAGAAGGATCAGATGGCTCCCATGGAGTTGATCCTTACGCCAGGAGCGGCCGCACCCATGACCCTGGTTCAGAGCAATCCGGAGCAAGGGGAGGAGGCATCCCAGCCAGCAGAAGATGAGGAGCAGATCCTGCCCATCTACAAGCGCATCTCCGCCGCTGAACCCACCATGTCCAAGGTGCAAACGATGCCCGTGACGGTGAGCAAGGTGGAAACGGAAGTCCTGCCGGAAACTGAATCCCAACCGGAAGTCCGGGAACCCAAAATGGATGCCCGTAAGCGTCGTTTCCTATTCCGCGCCGATGCCAGTTAAAGAGGAAGAGAGAGAGAGAGATACAGAAGGCCAGATAGCAATCCTGGCGAGGATCACCCTCCTCCTACTTAGCCCGAACCGGAACCCCGTTCACCTCCTAGTTCCCTAAAACGCTATCCCACTCATTTGCACCTAGGCAAGTTTTATTTAATAATTTTTTGATTTCCTAGTTTTATGGCCATTTCTTAAAGGAAAAACGAGCACGAGAGTTGAAATTTAAGTTTAGAATTGTTGTTCCGACGAGTTAAAAAAGCAAATTACACAAAAAAATTGCAAAAAATCTTAAAATAAAAAAATTAAAAAACATTTTGTTGAAATTATTTGACTTAGGTGGGTAAAATTATAATATGAAGACTTTCTGGCTAGCTAATCAACTCCATCGTGCAGAGGTTTGAGTGTCCTGTGTCTTGCCAATCCGCATTCAATCTTTGAACGATAGATATGGTCAGCTTAAATGCAACCTAAACATCTATTCGAAATTCAGATTACTTAAATGAAATATTATTAAGGAAAAGTTTAAGTTTGAATATTTAATATTTCAGCAAAAAAAGTGCAGTGTTTAAATTCAATCAACATCAAATATTGCATAACAAAGCTTTGCTGTGAGTAAACAAAAGACTTGAAAGACGAACCTCAAATTCTTGCTCGGCTTACAATAATAAATAATGAAAACACAATCGCGGAGAATGGTCAAGTAAAACAAATAATATTTCTTATAACTGAATCTGAGACCAACTCCCAATCGAAAGACAAACCTACAATATTCGTAATTTATTATAGAAAATCGTTTACAAATCGCATTAACACTTAGGCTTTGGGTATTAAGCTGTATGAGGCAACTACCGGGTGAGAGAACTACAATTTACAAATACAGTAAACACTGGACGTTAAGTAACTAACACATCACATTGGCGAACCGAAGCCAGGGATAAGTACAGTGAATCCCCCGACTACGCCTCAGTTTCCTGTTCCAGTTCGCCGGCCTGGATTTCCTCCGGCGTTCGCAGATCGATGGCGAACTTTTGGCGCGTGGGCGTGATGCTGTCGCTGGGCGTTCCCTCGGCCCCCTCCTCCTCGCCAGACGCCTCCTTCACCCGTCGCGAATAATCCTGGAAGGCGGCGGCCAGGGCAAAGGTCAACTTACGGGCCATGGCCCGACTGTCGCAGACGAAGGCGTGCACCTCGAAAGGATGCGGACTGGACTCGTCCTTCACCACGATCATGGCAAACACCCGTGTGTAGACCAAATCCTGAACTCCGTAGGAAATCGTGTCGATCGGATAGCTCCAGTGGTTGATGATAGCCTTGGGGGCAATGATCTCCAGTTGGACACCGGCGGTGGACACCTTCAGTTCGCAATTTGGGAGGACCTTGTTGGGCGGCAGGTTCTTGGCCACGCCCACCATTAGGTCAACTGGTCTTCGGGTATACTTAATACCCCACAATCCACGAGCCACCTCAGAACCGATGTACTTCACCTGCGCAAAAGAAATACATCAGTTATTTTGATTTAACTTCTACTTGAAATTACTATGATTTTGTAGCTTTCGAGTTTCACCTACCAATGCGGAGATAATTTGGCGGTGAAAATAAAACTTCCTTTTTTGTTTGCGACAACTAAGAACTTCTCTCTGAACTCTTATATTAGTGGTTTATAATTTTAATCATTTCAACACAAAGCTAATTCATATTACCAATGCATCTTTACCATCGATTTCCATTTCATACGGAAATTTTAAATATCATAAACAATATTTTATCTTAAGTTGTACTTAATATTATTCCATTATTTGTAAGTATTCCATGTAACGTGAGTAAAAAATATGTTATCATGAAGAGTGTGAGACTATTCATCGGTGCTTTGGCTTCCGCTGCGCATGCGTTGCCGTTAGAGTCGCTTCATTTGCATCCGACCTGCGACCGGAAGTCCACAGCCAAGCCAAAATGTTGTTGCTACGGCTGCTCATGTGGTGCCATCGCCACGCCCCTTTTGCCCCCACCGCCAACATCTGAAGTTCAGCAGGGCGTGACGCGTGCGTGTCTGTCTCGTTTTTTTTGGCCAAGTCTCGTATGCGGGTGGTATGCGAGTTATACCTACATATGCTTTTGTTCGTAATGCACTTTAACAACTTTTTGGGCAGATGTTTGAAAATATATATTTTTTATACCCGTTACTCGTAGAGTAAAAGGGTATATTGTATTCGTGCAAAAGTATGTAACAGCTAGAAGGAAACGTTTCCGACCCTATAAAGTATATATATTCTTGATCAGGGTCACTAGCCGAGTCGATATAGCCATGTCCGTCTGTCCGTCTGTCCGTCTGTCCGTCTGTCTGTCAGTCTGTCTGTCTGTCCGTATGAACGCTGAGATCTCGGCAACTATAAAAGCTAGAAGATTGGCATTTTGCATGCAGATTCTAGGAGTTCCTACGCAGCGCAAGTTTGTTTCAAAAAGGTGCCACGCCCCCTTTAACGCCCACAATCGCTCATATACGATTTTAAAAATTTAAATATTTCGGAAAAGTAAAAATGCAGTTTTATTGTGTTTATCAATACCTATCGAAATGTAGAAGAAATTTTTCAAATCGGACCATTCGTTAAAAAGTTATGCGTGATCAAAGTTTCTATCGCCATCTCCCTCGCACTCCCTTTACCTGAGTAACGGGTATCTGATAGTCGGGGCACCCGACTATAGCGTTCTCTCTTGTTTTAAATATATAATTTTGAAATGGTTTACTTTAAAATTTGCTTAGCTAGTTTAGCTAATAAATCCTCTTTAATTAATTTATTACTTATAAATTCCTTCATTTATTATTCAAACAATAAATTTTCTCAGTGCATATTTGGCCATATAAGAGGTCTTTATGGGCATTGGTACCTGAACTTGCGCCACTCATTTCACAGCATTTAAATACGCATTTCGCAATGTGGACACTCACCTTGAACGTTATGGGCAAATCCTCCACATTGACCTGACCGTCCAGATCTGAGGTACTGCTGTTGTTGGAGGCCATCTCTGGGGGGTTCTGTATCTTCAGCCGAGTCTCTATGTATCTTGCCGAGGTGCAAACGAAAATCCACCGTTAAACTCATTCACCGCAAAACAACTAAAAAGGGCGCAAAAAACATGAGGTTGAGTAATGCTCCCATAAAATGTATCTCCGGGATACTTTATGCGGTGTATTACAGTGCACATCCACCGTTGCATTACCATATCTTCACGGTAATCTTTGGATTTCACATGGTTCACTTTGTGTGCGCTTTTTAGACGTACGAGTAGAGTATATGTGAACAAATATATACCACTGAATATCGGTCGACTAATAGTTCTGTTTGGGTTTGTTGTTGCTGTCGCCGGCTACCGATTGCTACTGAACTCGCGATCGGCGTCAAAAGGTGTCGCAAGTTGTAGGTAACTCCCTCTCGCTCGTTCCCCCCAGTTTTCCACCACCCCCCCCTCTCCAGCACTCTCGGCACAGGTAAAAAAGAGCACAGGCAAAACAAATGGGCTAAACAAAAGCAGCGCTCAGATAACTATATTTTCTCTCACACACTGTCACTGTCTAAGCACAAACAACTGATATTAGAAGCAAATGTTATGCAGAGAGAAAAAATTTGTAAAAATAAGAATTAATTTCAAAAATGGAAAAATCTATTAAGCCATAATCCGTCCTTGAAAGCCATTTGTCTGAAATGCGTAGCTGCATGGAAATGGAATCATTAAATCAATTAAACGCTAATACTTTTTTCAGTGAAACTATAAAAATTTCGTTCAAAAATGGTCAAGCATGTTAAATCTTATCAACAAACAATTATGAGTTAAAACCTGAATGTTGTCACTGATAGCCTAGTTGGCAAATTAAAGACTTCACCCAAGCAAAGTATTTATTCAGCTACTTGATGAATCACTTCTTCCAAACGCACTATTTATTAAAAATACATTATTAATATTTCCTCACGCAGCCCATTGACCACTTGAAATACACAAGAAAGAAAAGAGCATTATACCGGATATATATTTACAATGGCCATGGTGCAATAGTTGCATGTCTGCCAATTAATGACCAACGAGAGAAAACCGAATTAAAACCAAAACTGAAACGAAATGAAATGAGTTCATTGCAATGGATTTTACCTGTGTGACGTCACTTTAGATGGAGAGGGGGAAACTATCTATGCAACATACTATTTTTTCTGTGTTTTTCATCTCTGACTACTTTTAAAGCCAATGACCCAAGCGGATAACAAGTGACAATGGCCACTAGCACAAACAAAACAAGCGACTAATTGCGTTCTCTTTTGGTTTTTTTACACTATTTACAAGTCCCATGATCCAGATTTTCATGTAGATCACGTTCATGGCTTTCGGATTTCATATATTACAACTTTTAAAGACCTATGCTTATGCCATTAAAACGTTTGCAACACTATTACCAATTTTCATTAATATAATATATAGTTTAAAGTTCCGCTCACTTTTCCAATCTCCCTTTCTAGGCTTTAATATGATTTTAATATAGTTTTGGGAAAAAATAATAAAGTAAAATATATTATTTTTGTCAAAATATAAAAAAATATAAAATACATAAAAGAAAAGTGATTTTTATGTAATTTTAAAAGTTTATTATAATATTAAAATCTATTTTATTTTGGTATATCCAATTATACCAATATCTTAAAGTGCACACTCATTTTCAGTTTATGCCTATAAAAAGTAAGTATCATAATACTAACAACTATAACAATAACAATATCAGAGACCTATACAGTAGCAGTCGCAGTCCAATTTAGATAATTTTCCACTGGACATTTCAGTTTAAACGGTGGCAAAGCCGGAAGCTGCTCATATGAGCATATCTCCTCTGTTCATATATAGATGTATATTTGTTTATCATAATTTGTTCACGGGCACTGATGATTACTGTCATTTGTCGCATATATAGATTTGTGTATGTGGAGCTTGCACTAAATCATTGTTTTTCAAAATGACTAATTCACCAAGTTTAGCTTCTTTTATTTACACTTAATTTTTTTTATGGTCAACATTTCCAAGTTTCAATTGCCTGTTATCACATAGCGAAACATTTACCCATTCGTCTAATCTTATCACTCACGCACACGAGGAAATTAGCTCACAAAAAAAAGGTAAAGGTTTTATTTTGTTTTTAAACCAAAATGTGTTGAAAGTCTCCAGTAAATATATATAAAACTGTTTAATATATTATTAGTGATTTCGGAATGGGTGTTAGGGGAAATCACATTGCAATTACCGATCTTATTGTGGCTTTGTTTTCTTGTGCACCTGTTTCCTCGGCCGGTTAATATGCGACTAACGAAAACCCCAACGATCGTGGCCAGTGATGCCGTTCTGGCCTTTTTTAAAAGTTGAAAAAAACTTAATTATACTTGCTTATTACACTAACATATTTGATTTATTTTTTTATTATTTTATAATGTTTTGCATTTTTTTTTTGATTTTATATACTATTTCTCTGACATCACTAGTTAAATACTTTTTTGTATGTTAGCCAATACATAAACCATATGTAAGCTTAAACTTAAAAAGCTTGTTGTTAAATATAAACATACAAATAACAAACCATAATATTGGTATAAATTTAACTTAAACTTTAGAAAAATAAAGGTTACTTTGGCTAGCTAACATTTCCTTTCAAGTTTAATATTCATACGTACTGTTGCCTTTTGTAACTGACATACGTGTCGTATGAGTAATTTCTTATTCACCCCGGGAGACCACCGCCTACAGCTTAAAATATAATTTGTATTTCTTGTAACCACTTAGTTTTTTTGCTAATCCCTAAGTTTTCCCTAATTTACTGAGCAATCTCTCCGATTCCGTGTTAATAATGCCAGAATTTGATTCGAATGACAACAAAAATCATATAAGACAACCTCTGTCATTTCAGTTAAAATCAAAACTTACAATAAGTAATATTATTTTGCATATACTTTTTGAATTTTCACTGGCAAATAATGTATTGCAGAAGCAATTGTTCGCCGCTGAGGAGAAATCCTGTAGTTCAGCGCAGTCTCGATTTGCGACTTCGTGGCGGCCAAGCGAAAGACTACCTTAAAAGATGCAGTTGCAACCTGGTGATCCTGTCGATTCTTTTCTTGGACATCTATCAGATGAATTACTTTTCCAACAGGAATAACTGGCGGTTCTTGGCGGAGTGCTCCATTTGTCCTATACTTGCCCTGAGAGCATTTGTCTGTTTCGGCAATTATCTGTGGTTATTATGTGGCATTGACCAGGTGATCGGAACGGAAAACCAAAAGTGTCTGCTGGATGGAAAGGATGGTAAGTTTTTCTAGGGGGAGTAGACGCTTAGCTACTTTTCTTTTTCTTTTAGAGATCCCCTTTGGCACAGTATACGCTCGACCGGTAATGAAAGCTCAAGGTAACAAAATGGGCAAAGATATGAAGGACGACTGGCCCATTATCCACTGGCACTCCTCTTTTCAGAACTCCTTTGGGTGGACAAAGAACCAGTGTTTCTTGTCGTTGCAGAAACACCCGCTTACGTCCACCTACAATTCATCGTATGAGGAGGTTTGCCGGGATGATTTTATAACTGATATCCGGAAGTTGGACGATTCGGAAAATATATATATCAAGAGAAAATTATTTTTGAAAAAAATAAGAAAAAATCTGCCCTATAAAATGAATAATTTTACTCCACTTCGAACAGTGCATTTCAATGGATTCCCAGATTTCAAACTAGCAGAGTCGATATCCCCAATGAAACTATTGCAATATGTGGCCAACCTGAGATTTTGGATCTCCACCACCATTCTGCAACGATTAGTGAACGAGATTGACTATGTGGATAAGATGTTTCACAAGTATAAATTCAACTTCAAGATAGGAGCAATAAGCCTAGAAAGGCTGCGATTAATAGCCGTGGACCGCAAGTTGGTAAGGACTTGTTTTCCCATGATGCCCATGCTATTGGCCTTTCTGGACACCTTCGGCAACCAGGAGTACCTAGTGCAGCGGATTAAAGAGCTATCGAAGGGTACCTATATAGAAGACTACCGTTGGAATTCGGGGGGGACAATCTATGGTCAGGAGTGGCAGGAACACCTGCCCACCGATGCAGCCATATTGTTTCATTTGTTTTGTGTTTACCTTGACAGCCAACTTATGCCATTGCCGCAGGGTGCTGACCGACGACCTTTCTATTCTCGATATGTGATAATTCGGGATGGGAGATCCATTCAGGACATAGAGTCCTGTGTAAAAAACAAGGCCAACTGCGCCATTTTAGCCACAGACAATCAACAGCCCAATCCCAAGTTCAATTTCATCAGCGAATTGGAACTGCATGATTGTGTATACGACACAAACAACCTGTTCTATGTGATTATCCAGTTTTTGACCTACATGCAAAAAGAGCAGGGAGCCGTTCTGGAGTTTGTCAGTCTGGGCAAGAGCGGGATCAACATCTTACCTGTTATACAAAATGGGCTTAAAGTGAACTAACTTCTTATGGTTAAAGCCAAATCTTTACACACCTAGTACTTACATATTTTATTTTATTATTTTTTTCACACTATTGTGTATTTGTAACTATTAAATTATGCATTATACTCTTAAATAGGTATAAACATTTTTCATAAAAAAATAAACAACTCCCGATTACTTATACACACAATACTAGAGTCCATAACTTTACCAAACTAAACACGATTTTAAAGTGGCATGCCTATAAAGACTTGTGGTTTGATTCTCTAAAAATCTGCATTCAAATTTTTCATTTTAACGTTGATCAAAATTTTGACCCATTTTCATGTTAGTTATTTTAACGTTATGACAATGTAGTTATTTTAACGATTATGACAACTTGTAAAAAGGTCACCCACAACTGAACTTCCAGAGTCCATAATTTTGCCAAACTTAAGCCGATTCCAAAGTGGCATACCTCTAAAGACTCGTTGTTTGATTCTCTAAAAATCTGCATTCAAATTTTTTATTTTAACGTTGATCAAAATTTTAACCCTCTTTAGATGTTAGTTATTTTAACGTTATGACAATGTAGTTATTTTAACGATTATGACAACTTGTAAAAAGGTCACCCACAACTGAACTTCCAGAGTCCATAATTTTGCCAAACTTAAGCCGATTCCAAAGTGGCATACCTCTAAAGACTCGTGGTTTGATTCTCTAAAAATCCGCATTCAAATTTTTCATTTTAACGTTGATCAGAATTTTGACCCATTTTCATGTTAGTTATTTTAACGATTATGACAACTTGTAAAAAGGTCACCCACAACTGAACTTCCAGAGTCCATAACTTTGCCAAACTTAAACCGATTCCAAAGTGGCATACCTCTAAAGACTCGTGGTTTGATTCTCTAAAAATCTGCATTCAAATTTTTCATTTTAACGTTGATCAAAATTTTGACCCATTTTCATGTTAGTTATTTTAACGATTATGACAACTTGTAAAAAGGTCACCCACAACTGAACTTCCAGAGTCCATAACTTTGCCAAACTTAAGCCGATTCCAAAGTGGCATACCTCTAAAGACTCGTGGTTTGATTCTCTAAAAATCTGCATTCAATTTTTTTATTTTTACGTTGATCAAAATTTTGACCCATTTTCATGTTAGTTATTTTAACGATTATGACAACTTGTAAAAAGGTCACCCACAACTGAACTTTCAGAGTCTATAACTTTGCCAAACTTAAGCCGATTCCAAAGTGGCATACCTCTAAAGACTCGTGGTTTGATTCTCTAAAAATCTGCATTCAAATTTTTCATTTTAACGTTGATCAAAATTTTGACCCATTTTCATGTTAGTTATTTTAACGATTATGACAACTGGTAAAAAGCTCACCCACAACTTCCAGAGTCCATAACTTTGCCAAACTTAAACCGATTCCAAAGTGGCATACCTCTAAAGACTCGTGGTTTGATACTCTAAAAATCTGCATTCAAATTTTTCATTTTAACGTTGATCAAAATTTTGACCCATTTTCATGTTAGTTATTTTAAAGGGCAAATAATAAAGATTTTTATTTAGACTTACCATAGTTTTTTTTTAGTAGCCAGTGTTTACTTTGGAAATCAAATTCTTTTTAACTTTTAAGCAAAAATTTGTTTAGCTAGAGATATTTTTCTAGGTCGCTTCTTCCAAGATTACTCTAAATACTCACTCACTTTCCACATATAACAATTTTTTAAAAGCAGAAAAAAAAACAATATGTTTTTCACAAATTCTAATATTTTATTTAATTTAAACTTGCAAGGTTATTGGCCGAAATTAAATTAGTCTCTTCTTCTTAATCACTATCACGGCGAATTAAGCATCACGAATAAAAGTGTTGCTATCAAAATACGGCGAAATGGAAAACTCGGCGAACGCACACACACAAGCTTAAAAGCGCTCCACAGCTGTGTGAATGTATTGGTGCAAACAGAATTGGTAAAATGAATTTAAAACACTGATATTTAATTGTTAATTGATTTCTCAGCTTGCTCAACATAGATGCAACGATTATGCTTTGAGTTTAAACGAAGTACCAATTGTGTATTTGCTTATAATCAAATCAAATATAGTTCAATTTTGCAGGCTCACACACATTACTGATTTTTTAGTTAATCGCAGGATGTTAAATTATTTAATTAAGCAAGTATCACTAAGTCACAGGTGCTTATTATAACTATTAACACTTTATATTCAAGTTTTTACCATTTATCGATATTAAATTTGCGAATAACAAATTAAAATGCGCCTGGAAAAAGGACGCGTCCGACCGGAAGAAGCGATTCGAAGAACTGGAAAAGGTCAGCTAATCGAGAAAAGGAGAGAGGAAACGGAATCACCGAGGATCTAACTGGAATAGGGATCTCTCTTTTAATAAAAAGAATGTTAATATAAATATTTAAGTATGTATGTATGTATATCGAGGAATTGGATATTTTCTATTGGAAAAGATACATGCATTTTGATAGGTTATATTAAAAAATTATTTACTTATATTAAATTGAATATTCAAATAATATTTCCTGCTTTTTGATAAGTAATGAAGTCAGTTATTCCTTTGGATGGCAAAGTTCAATGTCCATGAGTTTATCTGTTTAAATAAATTATTTTAGGGCTGTTTTAGATAAATATGAGTTCCTTTCCTACTTTTAATTTTGTATTTATTTAATAAATATTTTATTAAACAAATAAGAAAGGCAAAAACACAGTAAATTATACTTATAATCGCTATTTATATTTGGAAAATTAGTTTTTAATCGTTTAAGTTTACAGTAAGATGTTTTGGTTTAATTCATTGCTAATTAGTTATGCAAGGTTTGAGTAAATGGTTTATACATATTCGCGTAACTTGAAACTTTATATAATTACAGTTAAAAAACATATTAAAAACTAAGGGGGAGAATTACATTTTTATTTTATTTGAGTAGACGAAAAAGCAGATTATTATTTTTAAATGGATTTAAATGGTATTTTTTGAAACTGGTATTTTCAGGCTGGATGGTATTTTTTGTATAGTTATCAGACATCGATATCACCGATGATTTATAAACATCGATGTTTGTCCACCTCTATTTGGTGGAGTGGAGTGCAATTTATTTTATTTAAAACTCGTCGACCGCGCTGATCCATCGTTTGTGCACCGCTCCGAAGTGTAGCAAAAAGCAAGCAAGGAGGCAGCAAATCGGTAAATTCCGGCAAAGAATTGAAGGGTTATACGGAAACCGCGTCAAGTGCACGTGCCATTGTGAAACGTTCTCGGTATACCCCGCCCCGGCCCCTGCCGCACCCCTTCGTCCATTGTGACTGTGCACAATTAACTTGCATATACATACATATATATAGACCCTGTTTGTGTGTATTCGTGCCACCCCCAAAAGAGGCGGAAAAAGGAAAAGCATAGGAATTTCTACAAAATCAAAGATAACTTCGTAGATTCACAATCTCATTACTATTACTTTTCACTCGGCAATTTGCTCACTGCAGCAACAAAAACAACGGCGAAAATACGAAGTTGTTTTCTTTTCTCCGCTTTTATCGCAAAAACCCCCGTCCCCTTTTGTGTGATTTAAATACAGTAAGTATCGGCAAAAAGGAACTGGTGAAAACAAATAATCAACAATGGCAGACAAAAATAAATTATTATTAAAAACAGTTTTGGTTAAAGCCAAGAGAAAGTTCAACATATTCTTCAATGGGTTTACAATTTTTTTAATTTAACGAAAAAAGTAATACAAATATTAATTCTATATCCATTAAATATCCATTGAAAAAATGAGTCTTTAATATACAAATTTTGTATTTTGTTCCCAAACCATTTAAAGGGAAGCCTATACATTCATAGTTGATATTATGATATACATATATTACAAGTGCTATAATTTGATTGTTTATGAGTACCCATCTCGACTATAACCCGATATTTTCTGAACCTTTTCGATTTCCGTTTAGTTACTGGAGATTTCTAAAGTCCAACCCTAATCTATTCCAATTTTAGCAACTTCATTAGGAGTCGCGTTTCTGCTAAGGAACATCAACCACTAAAATACAAATTCCCAGATTAAAAGCTTCGGTAAGTTATAATTACTATATACAATTCTATACTCTCTTATAAGTTTTATTATTTAATCCAATTAAAAGTGAAAATCCAGTGAATATTGCCAAATTTATTAGATTGCGTGTTCTAGAATTAACTTGTTGTTTGCCTTCGTTTAATAAAAAAGATGAAAGAAAATTAATTTTTGTATATGTCTCACACACTTTATTAGGTAAATGACGTAGTTTTAACAATAAATCCTTGATCTTAGGTAGCAGATTTCCGTGGAGGTAACCTGTACGATCATGTCACGTTGACCCAAACCATGATTATCTTGTTATTTTGTTATTTCCGCACCTGAGAATTGGGCGGGTGGGCGTGGTCAGGTAGCCTCGTGATATTCCCATATAGTATCTGCATTTCCACAATCGATCTTAATCTCCGCTTCCTTTTGAGGGTCTTCGTCTAGGACTTGTTATACTTGATTTATGGCCTCTTCCCATCCTCGAAAACCGGTTGTTTTGGCTTAATCACCACATCTCGCTGGATATTTTATCTGAAATTCTTTCTGACTCACTGCTTTTGTTAAAGTTACTTTCTTAGTAATCCCCCTTTCTGAAGATTTGTTGGGGAAAAACTTTTGTTTTATTTAAATTCAGTTGATGTGCGGATTGTTTTAAAGTTTGTTTATTTCTTTATTTATATTACTATCGATAAACATTAAAGAAATAGGCGGTATAGAAATGTTTATTTACTTTTAGTACATTTTCTAAATGCCAATATACATATATTTTATTTGTTTGCCATCACATTTTTTTTATGACTTCAAGTAAAATAGAAATTATGCCACCTCTGCAAATTTTGTTCGATTTTGTATAAAAATTCAAAATTCTTTGTGATTTTGCTGCGATTTTCAATGTCGCAATAAGGCCCTGTATTCGGGCCCCAATTAAATCACATTAAATTTCTGCTCGATGTGGCTGAAATAATTCGATTTAAAGGTCAGGTTCCAGCACTTTGCAACTCTTTTTGTTCTCCCAGTTCATCAGCGCAAATTTACTGAAATTGAAAGCAGGGCAGTGGCGGAGGAGAGGAAAAATCAATAAGTGCTAATACAATTTTGTGGCAAACAAATTAAAGCACACAAATCCGCTCACCAGTGCCCTGATTTATTCACAGTATGTAGTACTTATTTATTCAGTTGATTTTGTTCGGTTGCAGGGGTGAATATTTGAGCAGCATGTTATTAATTGATACTGGTCAATTTGATTTGTGGGTAAACACACAGTGCCTATTGACTGCAACTGAAACTGGGGCTAAAAGTGGGTTATGTTTGGCACACGGCCACCATAAAGTAGCTTTAATTTACGACTGCAAATAAAGTAGGTTAGCCCAGGTCCAGATAAGCCTCCTCCCACCACGCTTTTCTCCTCTGAGGAAAAACGATAGCATATTATAATCTCAAAGGTGGTCGGTTAGCTGAGTTTCCAAGAGAATCGTGCATATGCGACCTTGACATGGTTTTCAGTTGTTCTAAAAAAAAAAAGGCTTTCCCATTTCCATTACTGTAACCATTGAAATTTGATTTGTCAGCCTCGTGAATTATTTCGCTACTTATTTATCGCCGCCACTTCATGCAAATTGGGTTGCCTATATTTTTAGCTGACACATCCATGCAACGGTTGCAAATGCCCATGCATATATGTGTTTTTATACACCTCCCAGCCAGCCTGATGCAATTCTTTGTAATATTTTTCCCTTTGTTTTGCTCACGCCGAATGCAACTAGGTTGGACTTCCCACCGCCCATTCCAGCTCTTACTTTGCCTTTGCCTTTCCTTTCACCGCCCTTTTTCCCGGAGCACCCCCATCCGCCTTCCGTTCCCGGAGGTCTGCAAAAGAACCGGGTTAATCGTCGCCACGTTGTCGTCGGCCAGAACAAATGATTCTTTTTCGTTTGCTCCTCCGCCATTTGTGGGTCAACTGCAATTTGTGCCATTAAAATAATTATTTGATTGCCTTTTTGCTTTTAAATGTCATGAACAATGTACGAAGCGTAACAATGGAGTCGGAGGAAAGTAAATAAGTAAATATAAAAAATCGATATAGTTGGATTAATTTATTTTATTGATCAAATAATTAAAATGTTCATCTAATTTCTCTCTCTGTTTCCCGCACTTAAAATTAAAGTAATAACCGATTTGGGCAATCTAAAAATTAGTTTAATTCCTGTTTAATAAATCATTCTTCAATTTTTGGATCAATAAATCACAAACACAATTAATTTGGCTTATCTGAAAGAGTACTTTCGAGTGGTTTGTACAACATTCCGTGCATAAACTATCGATTTCCGCTTATCAGCCAAATATTTCTTATCACTAAGCAAGGCGAAACTATATGCTGGCTATCATTGTAACAAAGCTGGCAACATCTGGCTCAGTAACCCACATAACCACCACCGAATTTGAATCCCAGTTGTCGGGGGCAATGGGGCGGGAAATGGAGAGTATACCCGTTCAGTGCAACGGGAGCTGGAGAGGCCAATTAAACCACCTGACCTAGAATATTTGTAGCCCAGTTTCGCCAGCCGAGAGTGCTCATGTTTTACATGCCAGTGCATTCACGTTCATATTGAAGTCCCATCCGATCTAACAAATTCGTACTTTGAATTAGTCGACTGTGAGCTGCATGTTAAATGGTTTGAATTAATTGCGTAGGCCACGCATGTCACGTGCTCTTCACATATATCTTTATATGTAGTACGATAATCTTGCCCCTTTCCACCCAAAAGACATTGAGCAAAGCCAAGCCAAGCTAGCCGGAAATTTAAAATAACATTCAAAATTTCCTTTTAGATTTCTTGCTGCACATTTTTGCCTCTTCATATTTCGTTTATATATTTTTGTAGAGCACATCACGTACTTATAGAACCAAGGCCAAATTACAAGGCCCAATGTCAAGTTAAATGTAATTTCAATTGGTTTTACAGGAATTATTAAAGCCAAGGCGCTTTTGTTTGTTTATATGTATACTACCAATAACGTTAAACTTCTATTAAATAATTTGACGAGTGATTTAAGTTAAGATACTATATTTGAGTAAGCAACGGGCACTTAGTTAGCGTTATAAATCAATCAGTATTATTGGTATTTTTAATTTTCTATTTTTTTTGGGTTAACCTGTTGTTGGCAACAAGTAATAAATTTATGCCTCTCTATTTAGATTGTGAAATACTCTTATAGGTAATACAAATTTTTTAAAAAATTGTACGACCTGTAACATACACACATATTTAATAAAACGAATTAAAAAGTGTGGTTTGATTTGTAGATTTGATTAAATATATCCTAATTTGTTATTAATACAAATTTTTAAGCTGAAATGATATCTTACATAACAAAGCCATCATAACCTTGTTATAAGCGGTTTAAAGATTTTGGAATAGCGGTTAATATAATGACCAACTGCACAGGTCAAAGAAAGTCCTAATGTCTATCGTTAAGGTGTCTTAAATCCATCGACTACCATAGTTTTCTCTTCGGTTAAAGGAACTTAATTAACAAGGGCTTGCAAAGCAGTTACGTACAACCTGTATTTTAAACGCTCTTCATTCTCTTGATGGCTGTGACACAAGCCGCCGTAAATGGCAAAATATTTGGTCAGCCAACAGCCGCGAAAGAGGCTCTGATTTCATCAATGGCTTGGCCATAGTTTGGCGGCAGTCCCATTTATGCGGAGCACGTTCGCCTATCGCGGACTGAACTGGCTGCCTGGAGGGGCTCAAGAGCTCATGGGGCATCGGCTATCAGCTGCAAGTGACACATTTTAAGCCGCGCCAGTTGACCACTTTGTTGGCCAGGCCGGCAGGCCCTATCTTTGTGAAAACGTGAAAACAGGTAAAGGCCAGGTAGGGCCATTTGGCCCAGGCACTCGACCAGTGTTTATTCGTGTGTGAACGGACGAGGTTTCCCGCACGCTCCTCCACAATATATTGTTTCCATTATTTACATATTCTTTGGATTCTATCAGCCACATGTAAGTTGTGATTCAGCTCATTTCCTTTCATTGCTCATTGTTGATTATAGATTAATTCGCTTGCTGCGCACTGCACTTGCTCAATTGTATCGTTTGCTTGAAGATCGTGGGCGAATCGTATTGTATATCTATCATACACTACAAATTATTTAAAATTGAAATGCATTCTTTATTATTTTGATTTTTTATTAGATATTTAAAATATGATATTTATAACTACTGTTGATAATCGTATCTGGTCTTCTAAATTATGAATATTTAATAAATATTTAGAAATAGTATTTAAAAGTATAACATTTTATGGCTCAGCAAATAGAGTGTAAAGGGTAAAATTTTATTTAAATTTGCATGTGTCGATCACACCTTGACTAATGTATATTTTTCCAAGCAGAACCGTCTAGACTTTAATCGACATTTGATATTTTTTCGTTGCTATTCTAATAGTGAAATCTAACTACTGACTTTTCTTTCGAGTTTCGAGTTGAGTGCAGCCAAGGGAAAGCCCCAATAAAATACGAATGCTCGCCTATTTGCTCGGATCAAAATATTTGGCCAGCTCACAAAGTAGCCTACATTGAATGCCGCGATGACTCCCGGTCTAGACCCACTCCCTTTTGCCTTTCACGGCTGCCAGTTCATCCGATAAGCGGGGATTGTTTGCTTTTTGCGCACAGGCTGGCAAATAAAACCGTCCGCCACCGCCGCCTTATCATCCAGGTTTATCTATTTTAGTCATATCTAGCTATTCGCATATGGAGAAGATGTAAAAACGTGGACCCAGAGAATCGGGTTGTGAATTCTGTACACATTTATTGGCATTACTGCGCACGGTACCCATGCTATAGAATCGTAGATAAAAATCAAAATGCAAAAAGCGCTTTTGTTTTTGGCGTCTCGTGTGCCGAGCGTTCTGAAAAAGAAAGGTTGGTGGATGGGAGGGGATGGTCTGGTCGAGATAACAGCAACACGAGGAGATTGTGTAATCGCTTTGGTGATTGTTGGCGGGAACACTGATGGTAATGCGGATTCCCACACAGTGAGGCCTAGTAACAAACACTAGAGCATCTTCAAGTGTTTGGAAAAGGTTTGAAGATCAAATTTAAATAGCAAGATTTAAGGTCAAAATATTATAGTAATACTATAATCTAGGCAAGTGCACTATCTTAGGGTTCTGTGCATATTTTGCAATTCAATAGTAATGTATTTAGTAGATATAAATAGGTAATTTTAAAATGGGTAAATATTAAGTAAATAAATACTTGAATAGGAATGCTAAAAATATTTTACACTTCCGTACATATAGTGCAATTTAATTGTAATGTATTTAGTAGATATAAATAGGTAATTTTAAAATGGTTAAATATTACGTAAATAAATACTTGAATAGAAATGCTAAAAATATTTTAGGCAAGTGCATTATCTTACACTTCTGTACATATACTGCAATTTAAAAGTAATGTATTTAGTAGATATAAATAGGTAATTTTAAAATTGTTAAATATGAAGTAAATAAATACTTGAATAGGATTGCTAAAAATATTTTGAGCACTTGACTCACAGTTCAGAACCATCTGGAATAGAGAATTCGATACATGATGGGTGCATGGTATTTTTTCTGAGCGCACGTCAATTGGTTGCTTGGCCAACGGGCAATAGTTGTTGGGTTCTTAGCCGAAAATGCAAATTGTTTTCTTGCCCGTCGCCACAGCAGCAGAAAGAAACGTCACCCTTTTGTATTTACCACCCCCTAAAACCCCCGTAAACCTCCTATATTATTACCCGATTTCGCCTGGCAACCGATGCCGATACACTTTCATTCGCTGTCGATTCAGTTGAAAATGTTTTCTGTTTTTGTTTACACATCGCTTTCGAGGGAATCTGCTGGCAAGCCATTCCCGGTCCCGATCTGAAATAAAGCCAGCCATAAGCTATTTCAGTGCTGGAGGAGCAACAGTCTTCCAGTCTTCCGAAATGCAGTTCTTTGCGTGAGTCGGATATATGGAAATCCCAGAGTTACTCGACCGCGACTTGGACCATAAAAAATACAAATTAAACATCGCCAAGCCCCCTTTTTCGGAATCAGTTTCATTTCCCCCAAAAGCTGGGTTCATTTTCTTCTAATACCCTGCCCGCTTTCAATTAAATCCCTCCATGAAGGGGCCACTAAAACTTTTGCCTAAACAAAAGGCTAAATGGAACTAAATGGAAAACTGTTCGAACAGCAACAATGGAAAACAATTGAAAAACTCAATTTGTTGGTAATTTGTTTGGGTGTGCGTGTCTCAGTGTTTTCTTTTTGTTGTTTGTGTGCAATAACAATTTCAGAGCTTGGCACATTGCAGTCGATTTGTTGACTGCATAAAAAGGCAGTTGAATGAACTGAGAGCAAACTTTGATTGATATTTCGAAAGCCATATTGAGGGAATATTTTTGGGACGTAGCAATAAAATAACAGCCGAACTACCCGAAAGTCCAATTTGGGACTGTATGGAAATCTTTTTCATGGTCCTTCGTTTCCCCTAATAGTTTTATCAAAATGCTTTTTTAATGTAGGAGATTTAAGTTTAAAATTTTAATTATATTTCCAATGAGTTTAAGTATTTCTACAACGTTAACCATACTAATCTTTTATAATTTCTTCCCTTGCAGCTTCTCCAAAATGGCCAAGTACTCGGGCAAAAAATGCCGGCTGCTCTCGATGATGTGGCTGACGGCTTTCTTCTTCTTCGTGGAGATCATAGTGGGTTACGTGACCAATTCGATGGCCCTGGTGGCGGACAGTTTCCACATGCTGGGCGACATCGCCGCCCTGGTCATATCGTTTCTGTCTGTGAAGGTAAGTCCCTGTCGAAATTGATAGATAACCCCTATCACTCACATAACCTCCTATCTCGACAGATGTCACCGAAAAAGTGGTCGAAGAACACATTCGGCTGGGCCAGAGCCGAAGTTTTGGGAGCTTTGGTCAACGCTGTCTTCCTGGTGGCCCTCTGCTTCAGCATCACCATCGAGGCCTGCAAGAGGTAAGTGTCCATAACAAAATGCAGGCTAAACAAATCTCTAGATAAAAGAAATATTTGAGAATTTAAATGAAATATTGTTTTTATATCCATTTTTTTGTCTTATTTGTCGTTTAATAAGCTACTACATGCTTATGCTAGACTTTCCATAGTAATAGTAATGGGGCTAATTACGGATCATCGATCCGCACCCAGTTGTTCGGTGTTCTGTGAGCAGTAAGCCGAATTACCATTAATACGCTCGCCTTGGCATCGGCATGTGTTAACGTGATTTGTTTAAATTGGCTTGAATCACTCGATTCAGTCTGTGAGTTAATTTGTTGTGATACGTTCGAGTTTTACTGCCACCTTTCCGTCTGTATATGTGCTTTGGGTTTTGTGACTTGTACACCTTATTAATTTACATTCCGGACACATTTTGCGCATATTTATTATCGAAAGCTTTGCGAGGTGAGTCTGTTGCCAACAACTACCGATACCCTGGAGACGCCAGCTACACTGATATAAAATATATAATCTCTAGCGATTAATCAGTTTGATCTAAAACAAACGGCCTTCTGAAAAGTCTAGTTGCTTAGTCTGATTAATAATACTTAATAACTGCGATAACTTAATTTCAACAAAACCATTTACTGATAAAACTTAAGTATAAGAAATGAGGTGTTAGGGTTTTGTTCCTTTAAAAACCGCAGGAATTATTTATAGTACTGTAAAATACTGTTTTAATCTACCAACATTTATTTAAATAAATATTTATTTTTTCTCTGGAAGTTTGCTATAATTACTTTTTCAAATTTTAACATTAACTCATATTTATTTTGTTATCTTACAGGTTCATAGAGGAGGAGCCTATTCACGAGCCCGAACTGTTGGTTATTGTGGGAGTTTTGGGCCTTGTGGTGAATGTGATTGGCCTGTGTTTGCTTTACGGTAAGAGTGGTTAATCTTAAACTTAATCTCTGCTATAACTATAACGAAATCTTTCCTGCAGAGCACGGTGGGCACCATGGACATTCGCATGGCGCCGGACTTACCCGAAACCACAGCCGCCTCACCGAGTTGGCCAACATGGACGAGGGCGAGGATGAGCAGAACGAGTACGCCTACGAGAAGCAGAAGGAGAAGCCGGTGGTGAAGAAGTCCAGCCATGGTCACAGCCACGATCCCGGCCAGATGAACATGCGCGGCGCCTTCCTGCACGTCCTGAGCGATGCCCTCGGCAGCATCATTGTGGTGATCAGTGCGGTGGTGGTGTGGAAGACCGAGTGGAAGTACCGCTACTACATGGACCCCGCTCTGTCCATCGTGCTGGTGGTGCTCATTCTGCATTCGGTGTGGCCGCTGCTGCGCGAGTCCGCCCTGATCCTGCTGCAGACGGTGCCCACGCACATCCAGGTGGACGCCATCCAGAAGAGACTACTGGAGAAGGTGGATGGAGTGCTGGCGGTGCACGAGTTCCATGTCTGGCAGTTGGCCGGCGACCGCATCATAGCCTCTGCCCATATTAGGTGAGTTATATTTCCTACTGCTTATCTCCTACTGAATTTTCTGCTTAAGCAGCAGTTGGATAAACAATCTAATACCCTTGCCTCTATCCATTTAGGTGCCGAAACCTCTCCGAGTACATGAAGATTGCCGAGAAGGTGAAGGAGTTCTTCCACAACGAGGGCATCCACTCCACCACCATTCAGCCGGAGTTCAGCGAGATCGAGGGCTGCAATATGTCCGATGGCACCTCCAGCATCAACATGAGCGGCTCCGACTGCTGTGCCTTGGACTGCCCCACCACGGATGAGGGGTGTGTCAAGGCCACCTGCTGCCAGAACAACAACAAATTGGTGGGTTTACTTTAAATATAAATTTCAAATGGGGAAATTGTAAATATGAACTCCAATTGCAGAACCAACTGCCCTCACCCACCAACTCGCCGTACCTGTGCCGCCAGCGCAATGCCGCCCGACAGGCCGGCGATGTGGAGGCGGGCTCCCTGCTGGAGGCCACGGCCAGTGGAAACCAGGGAGCCTCTGGCGGCACCACCGCAGGAGCAACGGCGGCTGCGATTGCGGCGACGTCGACGCCGAAGAGCGATTTGGTCTGACGACAGCCACAGCAGGCGCAACAACATGTACACTTTGCCACGACCAAAACGGAAACCGCAACCGCAACAGCAGCAGCAGCTACATCAATACGTGATATAATGTACGAGCCAAGCGCCAACAACCAAGTGGTTTCCACATCCAGCGCACAGGAGGTGGAGGCAGGCAATCTCGGCCTGTCGGTGACCGCACAGCGGCGACGGGAGCTTCAGTTGCAGGCCGAGCATCAGTATCAGGAGCAGGTGTCACCTTTGAGCACCCGGAACGGCGACGAGGTGGCCCTCTAATTAGGAGCCTAGTTTAAAAACCGCTGCAATGGAGACTGGTCTGCCATGGTGCAGCGTTCGTGTTTTTAGTGTTTGTATCATTATTTGTTCTTAGTGGAATTTAGGCATTAATGGTGGGCTAACCACTGAGCTAGTTTAATTAAAGTAAATCAAAAGAAATATAACACGATTATCTGATAGTGCAGAAAACACAAAGTTTAACGAGGATGTCATTCGTATATATATATATATACTATATAGTATGTTAAACCTATTCGATTGTAGTTAATTGCATTAGTTTAAGTCGATAAGTGAGCCCAACCAACAGAGAATACATATGTACTACGTTTTTTACATTTTGAGAAAGTTTATACATACGTGAAATAAATTATTGTATTCAATAGTTACCTACGGATTAGCAAATGACTAAAGACAGTTTACAAAATACATAGGTATACACAAACATGTGTGTTTTTGTGTATGGTTAGGCATAGTCTCTTAATCTTAGTAGTTGGTAATGCTATCTGTAAAAAAATATTTTTACCACAACCGAGAAACTAGTTTCTATTTAATTTTAATCGTATCGAACTTTATAATGACTATACATTTAATGCGAACATCATGTATTATTTTATGATCTGCATTGACTTTCACCTGTATATGTTTGTAAATAAATACCAAACATAATCAGTCCAAGCTAATTTATGTATTTGATTTGGGTGCTTTTGAAATGTCAATATGAAGTGCATATAAATTGCATCACACATGCTGACAATAAAATAAAGATCTTCAACTATGAAAACCACCACGTTTTTAAGTGATAATTAGAAAACCTTTTGGGATCGTCAACCCTTCAGTTGACTTCAAGATATACTTTACTTTATCTCGGAGCTAACAAGCATTAATAAATATAATGAAGAACTGAAACATTTTTTTAATCTTCATAAACAACCAATTTACTTTTTTTTGGCATTTAAGATGTAACCGAATGGAAAAGACAGCCGGTTCTTGGCTCGGTTTTTAAGGAATTTTATCAACTTCAGATAAGGATACAAATCGTAATTAATTTTAAGAAGCAAGAAGAAAAGATGTTAAAACATACTGAGGCAGTCAGATGAAAATCTCGAGGGGTATTGTCCCTATATAAGCTCCCTCTCGAATTGTAGACACCAAACGTCGTTAACAACTCCACTCAGCTAGCAGACTTATTGAGGATACCGGTTACAATGGTGCAGATCAAATTCCTGTTCGCTTTCCTCGCTGTGGTGACAATGGTTGTCCTGGCCGCCAACACTGCCGAAGCCAAAGATTGTCTGTCTGGAGCTTTCAAAGGTGGTTGCTTCGCTTGGAGCAGAGAACGCTGCAGGCGAATTTGCATGGAGTCAGGAAGACCCAGCGGACATTGCAGTCCCAGCATGAAGTGTTGGTGCGAAGGATGTTAAGGCCACTTCCTTAAAAAGTATACAATGCTTTCATAGTAATCAAAAGAAAACTCTTATAAAATAATTAAATAGCATCTGTCATAAAATTACATATTTTTTCTATTATCTTCTTCGAAACTTAACTTATTTTAATTAAATGAAAAATAAAGTTTTAAATATTTCGCAATGTTGTAATTTTAATCCCAAATGTATTGGTTCTAAAACATGGGGAAGTAATTCAGAATTATATTACAACTGGTGTAATGGGAATGCAGTACATTTTCCTGGGAAGAGCGCTTTGCACTCTTGCAACCAACAAGCATTGCTTAATTTTAATAAAAAAAAATCTATTTTTTTATTCTTTATAAGAAATACATTTAATTTAATAAGATAACAGGCATCTGACTCGATATTCCAGGAATCTTATCGATTTCAGATAAGGATCCTGGTTTAATATTTCAGTTAATTCACGTAGGAAAAAGCACAAAGGATGTTGAAACATACTGATGCAGTCAGCCACTTATTTCAGAATATTGCTGGATATCTCAAGGGGTTTAGTCGCTACATAAGCTGCCCCCCTGAGTTGTTGGGACCAAACGTCGCCAATAACTCAAATTAAATACCACGCCTATTGAGAATACCTGTTACAATGGTGCAGATCAAATTCCTGTTCGCTCTCCTCGCCGTAATGACAATTGTTGTCCTGGCCGCCGACATGGCTTCGGCCTCTGATTGTCTTTCTGGAAAATTCAGTGGTCCTTGCTTCGCTTGGGATGGAGAACTCTGCAGGCGTCTTTGCAAAGAGGAAGGACGAGTCAGCGGACACTGCAGTGCCAGCATGAAGTGCTGGTGCGAAGGATGTTAAAGCCACTTCTTTAAAAAGTATACAATGTTTTCATAGAAATCAAAAGAAAACTCTTATAAAACAAATAACACCTGTCATAAAATGTTACATATTTTTTCTATTATCCTCTTAAAAAAAACAGAAAGCAATTTCCTTACTTATTTTTATTAAATGAAAAATAAAGTTTTAAATATTTCGCAATCTTTTAGTTTTATTCCCAAATGTATTGGTTCCAAAACATGGGGAGGTCAGTTTCACTCTACCTTTGTAAGTGCCACTAAACATATGTTGTCACAAGTAATTCAGAATTATTTACAATCAAGTAGAACTGGGGTAATAGCAATGCAGTATATTTTCCTGGGAAGACAGATGTGCACTCTTGCAACCAACATAAAAAATATATTTTGTTTATTCTTCATAAGAAATACACTTAATTTAATAAGATAACAGGCTTATGACTCGATATTCCAGGAAACTTATCGATTTCAAATAAGATATCTCAAGGTGTTTAGTCGCTATATAAGCTGCCCCATGAGTTGTAGGGACCAAACGTTGCCAATAAATCAAATTAAATACAAGGCCTATTGAGAATACCTGTAACAATGGTGCAGATCAAATTCCTGTTCGCTTTCATCGCGGTGATGACAATTTTAGTCCTGGCCGCCGACATGGCTTCGGCCTATGATTGTCTTTCTGGAAAATATAGTGGTCCTTGCTTCTTTTGGGATGTAGAGCACTGCAGGCGTCTTTGCAAAGAGGAAGGACGAGTCAGCGGACACTGCAGTCTCAAATTGGCGTGCTGGTGCGAAGGATGCTAAGTCCAGTTCTTTTCAAGCATTTGTATATTATATTATTCTAACAAATGCGAAGGATGCTAAATCCAGTGCATTTCAAGCATTAATTTAACATGAGTCCTGTATATTATATTATTCTAACAAATAAATATCAAATATCATAAAAAATTGCAGAGGTATTTATGAATATGGGATCAGGATTAAAAGATGCTACATACAATTACTTTGCTATGTTCACTTTATATGTTTGCACTTTGTTATTGGAAGTAGGCCTTTATTCTAATATGATTCATGCACATATTAACGATTGCTACAATCGGGAAATTACTACGAAACATAACCAGTTTTTGTCGCGGCTTTCCATGAAGTTAGGTAATTATTATTGACACCTTTAAGGCAGTCAATCAGAAAAAGCTGAAAACAGAACACAAAATCTTGACCCTATAAAAAGGTTCGATATCAAATTCCTTTTTGTAATTCTCCTAGCCACAAAAGTAGCCCATTCATATTGTCTGCTGAAAAATGTTTTCCCTCGGACAGAGAAACTTTGCAGACAATACAAGTTACAAAACATTACAGTGCTAATGGTTAAGTGCGGAAAACTAGTATAATGAATAAATGTTATTCATTATTGGCAAAAATTAAAAATATATTAGCTCCGATTCGTCAGTGCTACGGCTCTGCCTCGATTTTCCATTAATCTTATCAAATTTAAAAAAATATACATGTTTAATATCGTAATTTACTGTGCTTCAATACGTTCCCATATCTCACAGAACAGGAAATCTTACGTCTTCGATAGTAGGTTAATGACTCGTTTTTCAGAGTGAGCTTATCTGGTCATGATAACGTTGCGTATAAACCGCAATTGTAGTCAATGAAATAGGTTTTGATGAACTCAACGCAAGTTGAAAAAACATGATCTCTAATTTGATAATTAATCAATACAAATTTATATACTCTTGCTGAGGGTATTATAATTTAAGTAAAAATCTTGCACAGCAGTTAAGGAGAAATTTCGGACCCTTAACGTATATTTATTTGCATACAAATGGAAATATAGCCGTTTTATAGAATATTTAATATTTTGTAACAGCTGCAAGGGTATATAAGCTTCGGCTTTCTTGCTTGTCTTACATTTTCTAAAAGCCCAAAAGTATGCTTTTGGAAAAAAAGCATTGTAATCGTTTACATATTCACCTCTGCCTAAGCGGGCAGAGAGATCGACAATCTGAGCCTATATAAGCGCTTGTATCTTACAGATAAAGCCTAAGTAAATAAGTTCCCAGAATCACGGAGTCATTTGCTAAGAAAATGGGAGTGTCAAGAATTCTTCTGTTTGCTACTGTAGTCCTTTTCCTCAACACGGCTTCGGCCTACACTTGCCCATCTGGAAAATTCAGTGGTCCTTGCTGGCTTTGGAGTGGAGATAAGTGCCGTCGAATTTGTGGCGAGGAAGGACGTGGCAGTGGGCATTGCAGTGCAAACCTGTGGTGTTTGTGCGAAGATTGCTAGGTCACTTCGTTTCGAAAGAGCTTATATTTCTAAATATCTACTCATGATTTATGTATTTTCCATTGTATCTGAAAACTAATAAAGAATTAATTTCACTGCAAAGACTGAGATTTTGAACTGCTACCTTAATCGGAAATACCCCAAAGTTTTGAAACGGTTCGAAGCGGAAACATATTCTTTATAGAGAAGTTGTATACAACTTCAAAACGATGAGGGTTAACTTTAAAATCTATTGCACTGGGCGTTTAAAAAGTCAACGCTAAATTATATATTTTTGTTAGATCTTGTTTCGGCAAGCCGAAGTTTTAATACCCTTGCAGACTTTGCCGAAATTGCTAGAATTGAAAAAGTAGCGAAAAGTATAAGCTATACATAAATTAATTAGATTTGCATAGTTTCATGTCAATAGATTTTATACATATGCAAAAATGTCACAAAAATAGAAAAAAAGGGATATTTCCGCCGCATTTAACAATTTTTCCTACGGAAGCTATAAGATATAGAAGTCCAATGGGCAAGCGATTTCACCCTGATCAAGGTATGCGTAAATAAATAAGACTTGGACAAATTGATGTCATACCTTATACACTGCGCGAAATATTCTAAAAAACATCAAATTTGGAGCGATTTCACCCTATTGTTCCTATGGCAGCTATATGATATAGACGTCCGATCGGCACAAGCTTTTACCCTGATTAAGGTATGCATAAAAAAATAGGATTTGGAAAGATTCATGTCAATAGCTTTTACACTGCCCGAAATATCATCAATTTTTGCAAGATATATACGATTGTTCCTATGGGAGCTATAGGATATAGACGTCCGATCGGGGCGATTTTCAAACTTAATCTGGGTACACATGTTTTAGGACGACTGTGAAAGTTTCAGATCGCTAGCTTTCAAACTGAGCTAGCAAACGGTATTGAAACAGACGGACAGACGGACATGGCTATATCGACTCCCCAATTGATCCTGATCAAGAATATATATACTTTATAGGGTCGGAAACGTCTCCTTCACTGAGTTACAAACTTCAGACCAAAATTATAATACTCTCTGCAGGGGAATAAAAAAGATTAGCTATACGTAATCAATTTCATTTTTAAATAGCGGCTGTAGTATGTACTTGTCTGATTGGCAGCAACTATTACCCTGAGCAAGGTATACATAAATAAATAAGATAAATTGCATAGTTTAGTTTGCATGTCAATAGATTTTATACTGCTAAATTGTCATATACAAATAGGAAAAAAAGGCATATTTTCGCAGCCTTTAACAATTTTTCCTACGGAAGCTATAAGATATAGACGTCCGATCGGCAAGCGCTTTTACCCTGATCAAGGTATGCGTAAATAAATAGGACTTGTATGTGTCATTTATGTATGTCATTTATTTATACACTGCGCGAAATATAAAAAACATAAAATTTTGACCGATTTTACCGTATTGCACGCGCTTTTACCTTGATGAAGGAATGCATACAAAGATACGATTTGAAAAAATTTGTAGCAATACTGCGCGAAATATTCTGAAAAACATCAAACTTGGACCGATTTTACCCTATTGTTCCTATGGGAGCTATAGGATATAGACGTCCGATCGTCACGTGCTTTTAGCCTGATCAAGGTATGAATAAAAAAATAAGATTTGGAAAGATTCATGCCAATAGCTTTTACACTGCGCGAAATATCTCAATTTTTGCTAGATATATCCGATTGTTCCTTTGGGAGCTATAGGATATAGACGTCCGATAGTAGATTAATGACTCGTTTTTCAGAGTGAGCTTATCTGGTCATGATAACGTTGCGTATAAACTGCAATTGTAGTCAATGAAATAGGTTTTGATGAACTCAACGCAAGTGGTATAGGAAAATGAGGAAATGCTTTAAAAAAAACATGATCTTCAATTTGATTTATGCTGATTAAATCAATACAAGTTTATATACTCTTGGTGAGGGTATTATAATTTAAGTAAAAATCTTGCACAGCAGTTAAGGAGAAATTTCGGACCCTTAACGTATATTTATTTGCATACAAATGGAAATATAGCCGTTTTATAGAATATTTAATATTTTGTAACAGCTGCAAGGGTATATAAGCTTCGACTTTCTTGCATGTCTTAAATTTTCTAAAAGCCCAAAAGTATGCTTTTGGGAAAAAAGCATTGTAATCATTTACAAATTCACCTCTGCCTAAACGGGCACAGAGATCGACAATCTGAGCCTATATAAGCGCTTGTATCTTACAGAAAAAGCCAAAGTAAATAAGTTCCCAGAATCACGGAGTCATTTGCTAAGAAAATGGGAGTGTCAAGAATTCTTCTCTTTGCTACTGTCACTATCGTGATATTAGGAGTCCTTTTCCTCAACACGGCTTCGGCCTATGATTGCGCATCTGAAAAATTCAGTGGTCCTTGCTGGGCTTGGGATGGAGAGCAGTGCCGTCGACTTTGCCGCGAGGAAGGACGTGTCAGTGGACATTGCAGTGCGAGCCTGAAGTGTTGGTGCGAAGAATGCTAGATCACTTCGCTTCCTAAATATCTACTCATGATTTTTGAATTTTTTATTGTATCTGAAAATTAATAAAGAATTCATTTCACTGCAAAGACTGAGATTTTGAACTGGTACCCTAATCGGAAGTACCCCAAAGTTTTGAAACGGTTCGAAGCGGAAACATATTCTCTACAACTTCAAAACGATGAGTGTTAACTTAAAAATCTATTGCACTGGGAGTTTAAAAAGTCAACGCTAAATTATATATTTATACCCTTGCAGAGGGTATTATAATTTTGGTCAAAAGTGTGCAACGCAGTGAAGGAGACATCTCCGACCATATAAAGTATATATATTCTTGATCAGGATCACCTCCTGAGTTAATATAGCCATGTCCGTCTGTCCGTCTGTCCGTCTGTCTGTCCGTCCGTCTGTCCGTCTGTCTGTTTCTACGCGAACTAGTCTCTCAGTTTTAAAGATATCGAATTGAAACTTTGCACACACCCTTCTTTCCTTTGCACGCAGTATATATGTCGGAACGGCAGGGATCGGCCGACTATATCTTATAGCTGCCATATAACTGATTGATCGGAAATGCCATAACTTTGGTGTTTGTAAAGTTAACTATGGGTTTATATTTGGCCAATCCATCCGACCTACCAAATTTCATAAGGATCGGCCGACTATATCCTATAGCTGCCATATAACTGATTGATCGAAAATGCCATAACTTTGGTGTTTGTAAAGTTAGAAAGTTGGGATTTCCCATGGGTTTTATTTTTGGCCAATTAATCCGACCTACCAAATTTCATATGGATCGGCCGACTATATCCTATAGCTGCCATATAACTGAACGATTGGAAATGCCATAACTTTGGTGTTTTTAAAGTTAGGAAGTTGGGATTTTTTATGAGTATTAAGAATGCATCATATGAATAATTTTGGAGAATATAATTTACAGAGTATTCTGCATCAACTTCGGCTCCGCCCGAAGTTAGCTTTCCTTCCTTGTTTTGTTAGATCTTGTTCGGTAATAAAATTAACTACAAAACGAGGATGGAAGCTAACTTCGGCAAGCCGAAGTTTTAATACCCTTGCAGACTTTGCCGAAATTGCTAAAATTGAAAAAGTAGCGAAAAGAATAAGCATTACATAAATTAATTAGATTTGCATAGTTTCATGTCAATAGATTTTATACATATGCAAAAATGTCACAAAAATAGAAAAAAAGGGATATTTCCGCCGCATTTAACAATTTTTCCTACGGAAGCTATAAGATATAGAAGTCCAATGGGCAAGCGATTTCACCCTGATCAAGGTATGCGTAAATAAATAAGACTTGGACAAATTGATGTCATAGCTTATTGTAGTGTGCATACATACAGAGTACACACTGTACCATCGGCAACAATGTTAGCCAATTCTGCAGGATCAGTACTCTTCAAGTGCAAACGTAAACACGCTATCAGCGAGTTATAAGTCGCGCTAGGTTATTCCCACAGCTTCGCGACTGCAACAAATATACCCATGTATGCACATAACAGTCTATTCCCTCTCTCTGGGCACTGCTCTCAGAGATAATCATAAGCTAATATATAAGGCGGTTGCGTCGCTGCCGGCTTGACCGACAGCGCCGACTGCGCAACTTAGAGCTAAGCGAAGAAAAGAATATAGGCCGGCAGTCCAGAGACAACGGCAAACCAATGAAGTACCAAATAAACGTATTAATAAATTCAAATAAAACCAGTGCGTTTTTATTATAACTAAAATACTGTGAGCCATAAATCCTAACATAACATTATACACTGCACGAAATAATCTGAAAAACATCAAACTTGGACCGATTTTACCCTATTGTTCCTATGGGAGCTATAGGATATAGTCGTCCCATCAGCACGCGCTTTTACCTTGATGAAGGAATGCATAAAAAGATACGATTTGAAAAAATGTATGGCAATAGCTTTTACACTGCACGAAATAATCTGAAAAACATCAAATTTGGACCGATTTTACCCTATTGTTCCTATGGGAGCTATAGGATATAGACGTCCCATCAGCACGCGCTTTCACCTTGATGAAGGAATGCATAAAAAATACGATTTGAAAAAATGTATGTCAATAGCTTTTACACTGCACGAAATAATCTGAAAAACATCAAATTTGGACCGATTTTACCCTATGGGAGCTATAGAATATAGACGTCCGACCGGCACGCGTTTTTAGCCTGATCAAGGTGTAGATAAAAAAATACGATTTCGAATGATTCATGTCAATAGCTTTTACACTGCGCGAAATATCTCAATTTTTGCTAGATATATCCGATTGTTCCTATGGGAGCTATAGGATATAGACGTCCGATAGTAGATTAATGACTCGTTTTTCAGAGTGAGCTTATCTGGTCATGATAACGTTGCGTATAAACCGCAATTTTAGTCAATGAAATAGGTGTTGATGAACTCAACGCAAGTGGTATAGGAAAATGAGGAAATACTTAAAAAAAAACATGATCTTCAATTTGATGTATGCTGATTAAATCAATACAAGATTATATACTCTTGGTGAGGGTATGATAATTTAAGCAATTAAGGAGAAATTTCGGACCCTATAAAGTATATTTATTCGCATACAAATGGAAATATAGCCGTTTTATAGAAAATTTAATATTTTGTAACAGCTGCAAGGGTATATAAGCTTCGACTTTCTTGCATGTCTTAAATTTTCTAAAAGCCCAAAAGTATGCTTTTGGGAGAAAAGTATTGTAATCATTTACATATTCACCTCTGCCTAAGCGGGCAGAGAGATCGACAATCTGAGCCTATATAAGCGCTTGTATCTTACAGAAAAATCCAAAGTAAGAAAATGGACCTGACAATAATTATTCTGTACATTATCACGACTATCATGGTCATAGTACACCTTGTCCTCCACTCGGCTTCGGCCTTGATGGAAAAGGTGACAAGTACAGTGCTCCTAGCTGGGCTTGGGATTGCGAGCAGTGTGTGTGCGAGCCTGAAGAGATGGGGCGAAGATCGCTCGATCACTTCGCTTCGAAAGAGTTTATATTTCTAAATATCTACTCATGATTTATGTATTTTTTATTGTATCTGAACATTAATAAAGAATTCATTTCACTGCAAAGACTGAGATTTTTAACTGGTACCCTAATCGGAAATACCCCAAAGTTTTGAAACGGTTTGAAGCGGTGAGTGTTAACTTTAAAAATCTATTGCACTGGTAAACGCACAGAAGTCAACGCTAAAAGATATATTTTTGTTAGATTTTGTTCGGTAATAAAATTAACTACAAAATAAAATTAAATATATCGGTCAAAAATTTGTATAAATTAGATTAAAACGTGTACCAAAAAAATGTTAAATTACGATCTGTATAATATTGTGCATATAAGCATGTCAGTTAAATGATTCTGAAAACTTTTCATGACCTACCCAAATCCAATTTGACATTACGTCAGAAAAAAGTTAAAAGAACCAAATTACAAATAAAAAGTTTTAATTAATAAAAATTAACTATTAAATGTATTTAATATATGTATATCAGAAAAACACGGCGTTGCTACAAAAATAGTTTTACATTCGATATAAAAAGTAAATTTACGTAAAATTAAATTAAAACAAGAAAGGAAAGCTAACTTCGGGCGGAGCCGAAGGTGAAATACCCTTGCAGAATATTCTGTAAATTATATTCTCCAAAATTATTCATATGATGCATTCTTAACACTCATAAAAAATCCCAACTTCCTAACTTTAAAAACACCAAACTTAAGAAACACTAAGGTTATGGCATTTCCGATCAATCAGTTAAATTAAATTCAATCACATCCGGGACGATTTTGTTTTTTCCTAACGCTTCTATTGAAGCTGTTACATCATTCAAACAGTTGCAACCAGTTTTTTTCAAGTCTTATGAGTAATATTGCATCAATTTCACATATATTTAAATTAATAATGATGTCACAATTGTTTTAATGGAAATTCACATTGTTACTATATGAAGTGAAATAAATATATGTTATAAACAGTTGCAACCAGTTTTTTTCAAGTTTTATGAGTAATATTGCATCAATTTCACATATATTTAAATTAATAATGATGTCACAATTGTTTTAATGGAAATTCACATTGTTACTATATGAAGTGAAATAAATATATGTTATAAGTCTCTATCAGCCATATTCCTCATAAGTTAGTATTTAATATTGGTGGGAATTTGGTACAAAGCATGACCGGTCGGTATTTGTGATCAAATCAGCCGTAAAGTATGCTATTGCAACAAAATACTGTTATTATTATCTGTAATTATCTTCTAATAATTATCACTGTCGAGGCGCCGACGCTGGCAGAACCAAAATTTGGGGGCAGAGAAATCCCGCTCCTATATAACCGCATTTTCAGGGATCTGGACCCATAATATTACAATTTATTCACGCAGGAAATAGCACAAAGGATGTTGAAACATACTGATGCAGTCAGCCACTTATTTCAGAATATTGCTGGATATCTCAAGGGGTTTAGTCGCTATATAAGCTGCCCCATGAGTTGTAGGGACCAAACGTTGCCAATAACTCAAATTAAATACCACGCCTATTGAGAATACCTGTTACAATGGTGCAGATCAAATTCCTGTTCGCTTTCATCGCCGTGATGACAATTGTTGTCCTGGCCGCCGACATGGCTTCGGCCTCTGATTGTCTTTCTGGAAAATTCAGTGGTCCTTGCTTCGCTTGGGATGGAGAACTCTGCAGGCGTCTTTGCAAAGAAGAAGGACGAGTCAGCGGACACTGCAGTGCCAGCATGAAGTGCTGGTGCGAAGGATGCTAAATCCAGTGCATTTCAAGCATTTATTTAACATGAGACCTGTATATTATATTATTCTAACAAATAAATAACAAATATCATTTATCAGCAATATATTCAGGCTTGTTACAAATTAATAATATTTATTAAAAAAAATTGCAGAGGTATTTTTGTATTTGGGATCAGTATTAAAAGATGCTACATACAATTACTTTGCTATGTTCACGTTATATGTTTGCACTTTGTTATTGGAAGTAGGCCTTTATTCTGATATGATTCATAAACCATATTAACGATTGCTACTTTCGGGAAACCAGTTTCTGACGCGGCTTTCCAGGCAGTTAGGTAATTATTGAGACCTTTAAGGCAGTCAATCAGAAAAAGCAGTAGACTTTCCAATATTGACGTTAGTCCACACAAAATCTTGACCCTATAAAAAGGTTCGATATCAAATTCCCTTTTGCGATTCTCCTAGCCACAAAAGTAGCTCATTCATATTGTTTGCTGAATAATGTTTTCTCGGACAGAGAAACTTTGCAGACAATACGAGTTACAAAACATTACAGTGCTAATGGTTAAGTGCAGAAAACTAGTATAATAAATATATGTTGACAAGCATTGTCAAAAATTAAATTTATATTTGCTCCGATTCGTCAGTGCTACGGCTCTGCCTCGATTTTCCATTAATCTTATCAAATTTAAAAAAATATACATGTTTAATATCGTAATTTACTGTGCTGCAATACGTTCCCATATCTCACAGAACAGGAAATCTTACGTCTTCGATAGTAGGTTAATGACTCGTTTTTCAGAGTGAGCTTATCTGGTCATAATAACGTTGCGTATAAATCGCAATTTTAGTCAATGAAATAGGTTTTGATGAACTCAACGCAAGTGGTATAGGAAAATGAGAAAAAGCTATAAAAAAACATGATCTCTAATTTGATAATTAATCAATACCAATTTATATACTCTTGCTGAGGGTATTATAATTTAAGTAAAAATCTTGCACAGCAGTTAAGGAGAAATTTCGGACCCTATAAAGTATATTTATTCGCATACAAATGCAAATAACAGCTGCAAGGCTTTGTTCCTTGTCTTACATTTTGTAAAAGCCCAAAAGTATGCTTTTGGGAAAAAAAGCATTGTAATCATTTACATATTCACCTCTGCCTAAGCGGGCAGAGAGATTGACAATCTGAGCCTATATAAGCGCTTGTATCTTACAGAAAAAGCCAAAGTAAATAAGTTCCCAGAATCACGGAGTCATTTGCTAAGAAAATGGGAGTGTCAAGAATTCTTCTCTTTGCTACTGTCACTATCGTGATATTAGGAGTCCTTTTCCTCAACACGGCTTCGGCCTATGATTGCGCATCTGGAAAATTCAGTGGTCCTTGCTGGGCTTGGGATGGAGAGCAGTGCCGTCGACTTTGCCGCGAGGAAGGACGTGTCAGTGGACATTGCAGTGCGAGCCTGAAGTGTTGGTGCGAAGAATGCTAGATCACTTCGCTTCCTAAATATCTACTCATGATTTTTGAATTTTTTATTGTATCTGAAAATTAATAAAGAATTCATTTCACTGCAAAGACTGAGATTTTGAACTGGTACCCCAATCGGAAATACCCCAAAGTTTTGAAACGCTTTAAAGCGGAAACGAACGGTGAGTGTTAACTTTAAAAATCTGTTATAAATCTAAAAGATATATTTTTGTTAGATTTTGTTTGGTAATAAAATTAACTACAAAATAAAATTAAATATAACGGTCGAAAACTTCTATAAATTTGATTAAAACGTGTACCAAAACATTGTATATTGATTCTGAAATGATTAAATGATTCTGAAAACTTTTCATGACCTACCCAAATCCAATTTGACATTACGTCAGAAAAAAGTTAAAAGAACCAAATGTGAATTACAAATAAAAAGTTTTAATTAATAAAAATTAACTATTAAATGTATTTAATATATATCAGAAAATAAAGGCGTTGCCACAAAAATAGTTTTATATTCGATATAAAATGTTAATTTATGTAAAATTAAATTAAAATTCAATCAGAATCTTTAAAATATAACATAAGGAAATCAAGTTCGTTTACTTTTCTCAATAACACCCGGGTTCGATTCTGGTTTTTCCTAGTTTTGTTCAAAAACGCTACTATTGAAGTTGTTGCATCAATCAAACAGTTGCAACCAGTTTTTTTCAAGTCTTGTGAGTAATATTGCATTAATTTCACATATATTTCAATTAATAATGATGTCACAGTTGTTGTAATGGAAATTCATTTTGTTACTATATGAAGTGATCAAATAAATATATGTTATATGTCCCTGAAGGTCTATAAGCCATATTCCTCGTAAGTTAGTATTTAGTTCTGGAAGGAATTTGGTACAAAGCATAGTCGGTATTTGCGATCAAATCATCCGTAAAGTATGCTATTGCAACTAAATACTGTTATTATTATCTGTAATTATCTTCTAATAATTATCACTTTCGAGACGCCGACGCTAGCAGAACCAAAATTTGCGGGCAGAGAAATCCCGACCCTATATAACCGCCTTTTCATGGATCTGAACCCATAAATCAAGTCCGAACTCTGTTTGAAGGCACTACTCTATTTACCATTTTTGTGGAAAGCGACAATATGCAGATCAGGTTCCTGTACTTCTTCCTCGCTGTGATGACTATCTTCATCCTGGGCGCCAAGGAAGCGGATGCCGACTGTCTTTCTGGACGATATCGAGGACCCTGTGCCATCTGGGATAACGAGACCTGTCGTCGTGTCTGCAAGGAGCAAGGACGATCCAGTGGACACTGCAGTCCCAGTTTGAAGTGCTGGTGCGAGGGATGCTAATGCCAACCCAACATTCCCGAAACTTGTTAAATAAAAGTTTTTATATGAAAGCACCAGTTGAGTACTACAAATACATATATTACTGCAAAGACATTTGATTTAATTATTCTGGCATTTTTATTTATTTTTAATAAGAACTAGTCTTTTAAGTTTTATAAACGAGACTAGTTCTGGTTTGCCCTAGCTTGTTCAGCCGTAATTCTATTGAACTTATTAAACTGTGAATTCAATATTTTAAGTGGTATTATAATAGATCAGATTAATAAAGTACACTCTCAGACATGACAATACTAATAGAGCCAGAATGTGTTAGTTTTGAACTAGCTAATAATTTGTATTGGGTTTTTATTACTATTATTGGGTTGGCTGCAGTGCGAATTGTAAAATGAGTTAATTAAAATTCGATGTAAGAATATCTGATATATATTGGTTGTTTAGTCGCAACTTTCTGGTTTCTATAATTTCCAAGATCTTGACGTTTATACGAACACTCTGGCAAACGGACATGACATGATAGAACAAATATTCTTTATAGGGTTTAAGTCCATAAACTTTGCAACGTATACAATATGCCATTTACTCTATGAGTAAGAAGTATAAAATCAAATAGCAGAAAAAAGTACGCTTCATAAAACCCCATCTTATCGGTATATGATATGTAAATGTGTTTTCCTGGAAGGTGGTGCTCACCTCGGAAATTGTTGGGGTAGTCTGCTGTTATTCTACGAGTAGCTCACCCTGGCAAAAACAAGAAATTCCGAATGCATTTGGTTAGACACAGCTGTATCATGTTTTGAATATAGTGTTTATCCATAGCAGCAAAGTCAACTATGAATCTTTTGCGCTTTAATAATTTGAACAAATGGGAATAATAAATTTAAGTAAATAAAATAAGTACATAAATAATAAGTTCAGGTAAATAATAATAGTAACACAGTTTTTTGACAGCTGTGTGGATTTTTCGAATGGACTTGGTTAAACACTATGATGTATCTTAATTTGAATCTACGACCTTGAAGATTCTGATAAGAGTGTTTATCCATAGCAGCAAATTCAGCTATGAATCACCCTCGCTTTAATAATTACAAAAATGAAAATAATAATTTAAGGTAAATAATAGTGGTAACACAGTTTTACAGCGGAAGTTTAAGTCCTTTTTAGGAATATCAAAACCCTATAAAATTTGGTTCTCCCGTATTTGTAGATATACATTGGGTGGGTGATAAAAATTAAAAGATATTTGCCTACATACAATATAGGAAAAGAACAGATAAGCAGTTTCTGTACCAGAAGAGATATCCGGACGATATAAGTGTATAGACGAATTTAAATAATTTTAAGTCGGTATTTGTGATATAATCAGCCGTAAAATATGCTACTACAGTTAAATACACTGTGATAATTATCTGTAATTATCTGCTAATCATTGCAATGGTGACGCCGACGTTGGCAGAATCCAAATTGCCGGGCAGAGAAATCCCGACCCTATATAAGCGCCTATTGAGAGTATCTGGACCCATAAATCAAGTCCAAACTTTTTTTTGACAGCACTACTACTTCTACTTTACCAGTAAGATTTCTGTGAAAAGTGACAAGATGCAGATCAGGTTCCTATACTTCTTCCTCGCTGTGATGACGATCTTCATCCTGCGCGCCAAGGACGCGGATGCCGACTGTCTCTCCGGACGATATGGAGGTCCCTGTGCCGTCTGGGATAACGAGACCTGTCGTCGTGTCTGCAAGGAGGAAGGACGATCCAGTGGACACTGCAGTCCCAGTTTGAAGTGCTGGTGCGAGGGATGCTAATGCCAACCCAACATTCCTGAATCCTGTTGGTCAAAGTTAAATAAAAGCTCACATATTGTACCAAGAGTTGAGAAATAAATACATATTTGCTTTTAATTATTATGTGATTTTTAGTTTTTTAAATTTTAACGTGTCTTGTAAAACCGAGATATTTTTATTAATTTATAAAACAGCTAGATCGTGTTTCTTAGTAGTAAATGAATACGGTACGGTTGATGGGACTTACTCTTGTTTACCCAAATCGTTTAATAGTAAAACTATGGTATTCATTTATGATTTTGAAATTGTTAAAAACAGTGGTTCTTTTAATATCTCAGAGTTTGTATTCGGAAAAGTTATCTTATCCCAACAGCTTACTGAAATTCATGGGACATCACATAAATTAAAATAGCAGAAAATGTTACGCTTCAAAAGAAAATCTTATCAACAAAAAAAAGCAAAAGAAAAACTTATCAGAATACGATATGTTCCTTTAAATTCGTTATCTCAGGAGAAGGTAAAGCGGACATGGGACGTTGATGTAGTATAACAATATTCGTTTATGGATTCAAATCAGAGATTATTTCTTATAGAATTGAATTGCCTCTAGATTACGTAAAGAAAGTGATCTAAATTGTGCTATTTTTATCTTCTTATAGATTGGTTAATTTGAGTTTCTAGGGAAACCCCTTAAAAGGTCGTGCAGCTAATGAAGATGTCAGTCATCCATATTCCATACACTCCTATTTGAGTAATTGCTTGCATTTATTTGCATTACATTAAGTCGAAGACATACAATGTCTGAATGTGTTATCGAATACTTAATTGTTATCTATGAAACCAGTTTTAACCGCAGTCGCGATTCCAGCTACAATTTCATGAATTTTCATATCAAACAATAACATTAAAATAAATGGCCTTACACTGCCAGTGGGTTAACCCCAATATAAATTGTTTCTAAACTATTACTCTGAAATTAATTCCCGCATTTTCCCTAGTTCACAAATACATGTATCTTGACATTGATTACTTAAATGTAGCAGCATTTTAGTACTTACCAATTATTGAGATAGATCATGACTTAAACAATTACATTTTCTGTATATTTCTTAAGTTTAATTTTTTAATACTTAATTTTGTCAAGGAAAATTTGAATTCTTAAAACACTGTACTGAATATCATACATTAACCGTTTTGATATACACGTTTACATTGCTTTACAAATAAAAAATTAACAAAAATATTAATTAAATGCAAAGCTGGAACAACAAAAGTCATTGAAACCTGTGAGTTACGTTGAACTAGTCTATTAATCAACTAAACGGTTCATGTTTATTAAACAATGTGGCAGAACATTTATGAATTAGTAAGAGTTTTTGTTTTGCATTTTTAGATTTAAAACCAGTTTCATCATAAATTTCAGGAAGATTGATTTATATAAAAATTATATTTTTATGAACCTCAATATTAAACAAATTTTTAAAGATTTGATTTATATACATTCAAATAAATCTATAATGTAAGATATGTACCCAAGGGTTTTTGATTATTTAACATGAAATCCTTCGATTTAATACCTGAAATGGAATAAAACCCTAATTAATAGACTTTTTAAAAGAATAATTTATTAAAATTACTTACAACCTAAAAAGACATAACATGATAAAAAGATCAACATTGACAAAAGCTTGGAATGAGTTAACAAAGTTAAAAACAAAAAATCGTGCGAATGGTTAGTGATTGGTGAAGTGCTCCCCGACATCGCCGCCACCTGGTCGTGGCGGCAGCTGTTCTGAGAAGCGGAGCTGCCGCTATAAGTTATTGTCCAGGTTCTCGTCGGTGTTCTCCTCCACGATGGCCTCGTCCCAAGGCCCGTGGATGTTGAACTTGTACTGCTGCTGCCACACGAAAATGAAGGGGCACACGAAGTTGATGAAGACGGTGGTGGAGGCGTAGAGATAGAGCACAGGGCGCGATATCCAGTACAGGGCTAGACAGCAAATGGCAAAGATGGGCACCATGAATCCAGCCCTCCAGTTCGCCTCAGTCATTATGGGATACAGCACAAAGAAGACGGCGGCCTCGACGAGGAGTACGAAGGCATGATACGAAGTCGGCAGTCTGGAGGCCAGACAAATGGCTCCAAATATCGCAGCATTGAGTGAGATGGCCTGAAATTGTAAAGCAAATATATAGAATATTAGTATTATAAGTGCTTTATGAGTTCGTGAAGAAATAACAAGATATTAAGTTTTCAAAAGAAAACTTTATCAAAAGTAATGAACTAATTATGAAAAATGAAAAGGCGACTTAGTAAAAATATTACCAAATGAAGAAGTAAAACAAGTTATCAAGTAAAAAGTTAATCATGCGGATAAGTTACCAAATGAATAAGTTACCAGGTAAAAATAGACCAACTAAGAAAAGTGAACAAGTTTGTTGACTCTATTAAAAGAGAACATATTGAATCCATCACAGTTCGCTGGGTGTTTTCACTACCTTGGAGACCATGGCCACGTCCAATCCGTAGTGACTGAATATTAGATTTCCGAGCAGGACAAAGAAAGTCATCGTGTAGATGGTGTCCGTGCTGATGGCCTGGGTTAGGGTGTGCAGCATTGGTGAGAATAGGTATCCAAAGAGCACCACTGTGACCAAGGTTTTGGAGTCCTCTCCCAGGAGCGCCCAGCTGAGACTCCTGCCCCGGTAGCACAGGTAACCAATCCCCGTAACACCGCAACTGGGCACCAGGATCGTGGTGGGCGAAACTCTATCGCTGAGCATCAGTTGATAGAGTATCAGAAAGCCGGTAATGCAGGAAATCTGGTTATTCAGCACCGTGATGCCGGCAATCGCCTCACTGAATGTGTATATCCTGACATGCAGGTTTGTGCGCAAATCCTTCAGGAAGCTGGCGTCCGTATAGTTGTCTGGATATTCTCGGTTTGAGTAAAGATTCTTTACCCACGGCTGCCGTTTTGATTGCGCCTTTTTTACCATTTTTTAATTCGAATAAAATTTGTTTGTTTACATTGGCTAATGGGCCAGTGTGCCCAATTCTCGAGGTAAACAAAATACCCGGTAAGGCAACAGCTGCATTTTTTTTTATAAGTGGAAATAAAAAATTCATAATTTCATAAAACTTAAATATAAAATTAAATTTTAATATTAAATCACTGATTTAATAATCTAAAATCTCCTAACAATGCCTGTTTATAGGCAATTAATTTATGTACTTAGCAACACACTAGTAATATATTGTCTCTAATAAAAAACACCTAATTACTGGCATTCGTCAATAATATACAACTTTTTTAATATTTTGTATCTTATTTTATAAAAACTAGAAATTCGATGTCTTCAAATTGCCTAATATATAAGATTTCTAAGATTAGACCATCAATCTTATATGTTAGACAATTTGCAGTCTTACAATTTCTATTTTTTAGAAAATACGCTAAAATTAAGCTAATTATAATATACCTAAAATGGATTGGGTCTAATTAGATTCGATATTAAACAATTTGTAGTCTTAAAAATTCTAGTTTTTAGAAAATAAGCTACAACAAATTTTACAGAAACTGATAAATGCCAGTTCGTACACATATAAAGAGTATTTACATTTTGTCTATCATCTAATATTGATAGACTAATCTTAGATATTATTATTATTATTATTATTATACATAAAATTTCTTGTTTTTAGAAAATATTAAATAAACATTTATTTTTAATTATATTATTTTATTGTATTTCTAGTATCCAGCCCTGGTATTTGGTGTTTCCTGGTTCTCCTACCTGGTCACACCGTGCATAACACCTTTTCGGAAATTTTTTGGATCACGCACTTGTTTGTTTTGTTTACAATTACCACCACGGAACTCAATCGGGAGCTGCGATTACTTGGGGATTCGTCCGGGAAGTCGAGGATTAGTGGACAGTGTAGTGTTCCAAACGGGGAGAACGCCCCATGAGCAGTCTTCCGCAGAAATCGCCGCCGGTCGCGTGTTTTTTCGCCCGAAAAACGCTAGAATTTCCAAGAATATCAATATCAGCTATTTATGGCTTCGAATGCGCAACTCGGGAAAATCATTTTGATATCCGCAATCGCCGTGTTCTTCTACTACTTTTTCTGGGTGGCCGTCCTCCCGTTTATGCTCATCGATGAAGGTAAGCAATAGATTTCCGCGGAGAAGTCAGTGCTTTTTCTCTCGGTTATAAGTTTTATTGAATAATCTCGCGCCGCTTTTGTGCAGTAATTAAAGTGACGCCGCGGCGTAAATTGGTCACGATATTTAGGTACATATTGCATGTATGGGGTATTACAAATCCAATCCCCAGAGGTCACTATCCGAAACCGGGGTTACCTGGAATGCGGCTCTTCGGCGCTCTAAGCTCGGGTCAAGGTCACCCACTAACAGCGGTGTGGAGTACAGTAAACACCGACTATGTCCGCAGTCATTTGTTTACTAACTTCAACAAGTGAATCTCCCTGTTTTATAACGAATTTATTTGATTTAAGCTCTCGCTTTTAAAAAATATCTACTGTATCTAATGTAGTGCATAACTTGAGTCTTGGTTTTCAATACATATTTTAAAGGAAAATATTTATAAATTACTTGGAAATTTAATATCAGCAGTAAACATTTTAGATTTAACTTAAATTGTTGGTTAAAAGCTATATCTACTATACATTGGCTATATTAACAATACATGGTTTATTACAAATTTACCCGCAGATTTAATATAAGTAAAAAATAAGTCAGTTTTTAGGAGATGTGTCATTAAAATTACGTAATTTAATGCTTATCTGTTGACCATTAACGTCATACCACAGAAACGTAGTTTTATTTAGGTGTACATATGTACAGTAGTTTTCGATTTAACAGTCGCAGGTAATAACTTTTCTCACATCTAAACGATTGATGAATTTCATGCCGTGACCAATCTTATTTGTTGCATTCAACACTAAACTAAAAATACAAAATCTAATCTTAAAGCCCCTTAAAATTCAGCATGAGTAAAAACATTACGTACACAAAGAAACAATCTTTTATGACTTTTTTAATGCATATCTGTTAAATACCTTTGTGGGAAACGAGTTAAATATGCTCACTGTCAAAAATGTGACTAGGATTTGGTGTCTACATATATCATTTTGATATAGTTAAATTATTTACTGTGTTACAAAATTTACGAATTCGATTAATTCGGTAATTTTTGGCCAATACAACCTATGAACTACTACAGAATGTTACCCAAATATCTTTTTTATACCACCAGGTAATCCCATTCGGCTGTTCTTCCCACCGCTGAAGTACGCTTTCATAGTGCCCACTGTGTTTGGGGTCATCTTCCTCGGCGGCATCGCCGCGTTCTCCTTCTATCACATCTGGAGCCTGCGGGTGAAGCGCGATTAAGGGGTTATCCAGGGGTTATCACTCCCTGTTGCGAACGTAAGATTCCGGCCGAGAAACAGGGAAGAGCGATAGTCAGTCGAGGACAACATGCCCCAGTGGCTGGTCATTGGAATCTCGGGCGTCACCTGCGGCGGCAAGACGACGCTGGCCCACAGTCTGCACGACTACTTCAAGGGTCTGAGTGGAGCTCCGCTGTGGAACTCCCCGTACACCATTGGCGAGGTGCGCCTGATCTCGCAGGATGACTACTTCCTGCCCGTGGATGACAAGCGGCATCAGCGGAATGAGGCGCTCAATGTCATCAATTTTGAGCTCATCACCTCGCTGGACATGGCCAAAATGCTGAGCGACATAGCGCAGATCATCAAGGGGCGCCACGTGGCCCCTGAACCTCCGGAGCAGCTGGTGACCTATGCCAACTTCGAACACTACGCCATGCAGTTCCAGCAGCAGTATCACTACAATGCCAACTACTACAAGCAGGCCAATGGCGCGGCCTATCAGTATCCGCCTCAGCAGCAGCCTAGGCTCCACCACCACCATCATCACCATTCCCAGCAGCATCACCATCAGCAGCAAATCCAGCAGCAGCAGCAGCAGGCGGCGCACATCATGCGGATCAATGCCCAGATCGCCGCCCAGCTGAGGGACAAGAAGATCAACTTCCTACTGGTCGAGGGGTTCATGATCTTCAATCAGCCGGAGCTGCTGGCCCTTTGCAACCTCAAGTACCACTTCCATCTGCCCTACGAGAAGTGCTTCGAGCGGCGCAGCAAGCGCACCTACGATCCCCCGGATGTCACCGGATACTTTGAGCTCTGCGTGTGGCCGCACTACGAGAAGAACTTCAGCGAGTACCGCGACTGCAAGGACATCACATTCCTCAACGGAGAGATCGCCAAGGAGAAGATCTTCAAGTTCGTCCTGCAGCGCATCGTCCACTACTTCGAGGAGCGTTGCGAGGTCCCAACTCCTGCTCCCCCCGCCTGTCCGCCGCAGCAGAAGCGATTCGGGATGCTCTACGTGGGTCCGAGCAATAACAATGTGATGCCCACGGCCTGTCCCATGGAGCAGTAAATTATCCTTCGATACAGTGTACAATAAAGTAATATTGTATGTTATTAGGATGTTGAACGGTTCAACATTGTCTGAATTCGTGGCAAAAATCCCCATTGCATATTAAGGCATATTTGTAAGCAACTCTTAGGGTGGTTCGATTTTTAATTAACCAAAAGTATCATCTAAATTCGATCTTTGGGACTGTTATAATCAGTTTTAGAATATGAAAATTAGATCTGAAATCCACCGCAAAGTCCAAAGAAAACTGCAGTATTGTTTAGAAATATTTGTTTTGCCCAACCTACAATTCGCTTTCAGTTTTCAGCTCTTTTTCCATACACCCAAATCGACCCGCCCCTAGAATACAACTTTCATTAGTTAGTCTTTATTTCGTATTAAGATAGTTATTATGGGTGACATGGTCTCTCTTGTGGAGAATGCTCTTGTAACCAGAATTGTGAAATGAAGAAACTCGGTTCAGGAATTCATATTTAGCTGTGCTAACTATTACACGTGTATTGTTTTACTATTACGTCATGAAATTTTGCAAAAAACCCCAACGAGGCATTTGGTGTGGGGCGTTTTTATGGAGTCGAAAAGTTATTGTACTATATAATGGATATTTATATATGCATATGCACCTTGTAAATACCGTAGTGTATATTTACCAAATTTAAACCTAGCTCTAAGACTATGACCTAATAGAATTCTATATTTTCTTGTGCGAAACAAAACACACATACGAATAAACAGACATTTAACCGCAAACCGAAAGGCGATCGTTTTCGAACTAGTTAATTTGTTTATTCTCCGCTACAGAAGCCAACTGCCGCAATCCGGATGAAAGGGGCTTGTGGAACAGGACAAATAATAAATATATAAATTATAAAATACAATCAATAATCGGTAAATATACAGGCTTGTCATCGCTATGGGGTATTTCGCGTATTCTAGTTAGTGAAGTGGAGCGGAGCGGAGTCCCTTGGCTTGCCAATTTATTGCCAATTCAGTGAGTAGTTGGTGTTCCAATCGTGGTCTGGCTACATGGATTATATCAATGTACTTCTTTATGCTTACAATTAAGGTAATAACTTTTTGCTTATATGATGCGTATGATGATCCTCAGGAGGCTGCATTAAGGCTTGCAGAGCAGCTGAAATTTTTTTAAGAAATTAAGTTAATGGGTGAAAATGTGGGTATAAGATGCAGTTACTCACCCATGGCTGCTCTTCCTAGAGGGCGTCCCAGTCGGTCTGACTGTTGTAGACCTCCTCCTCCAGCCACACCGCGTAGTTGGCCTTGAAGTAGTCCGTCAGCTCTACCTTGCGGTCCCACCAGCCCGAGTGGCCAAAGAAGGCAAAATCGGAGTGCGTGAGGATCTCGTCGCTGGGAAAGCCACCCTCTACACCATAATCGTTGAGCTGCTGCTGCTGCTGATTGTGACCGCCATTGCCGCCGCCCCCGTTGTTTCCATAGCCGTTGGCCTCCCCGTTATTGCCACATCCATTGTTGCCCGCCATCATGTTGGATTGCTGGGCGTTCTCTGCATTCTGAGCAGCCGTGCCGTTGTTACCACACTTCTGGGTGGCCTCCGGATAGCGCCGAAGGTTGAACCGATCCACGCAGGCCCGCAGCGTGCACTCCTCCGCCTGGAAGTCCCAAGGCCGCGACTCCAGGTCGTTGCCAAAGGCCCAGTCGTCGTTTAAGCGATGCCGCACCTTGGCGTAAATTGCACTCATGGTCTTCATGTTAGACTTGCGCCACTGGCGGCCCAAGTACTTGGTCTGCATCTTGAGCAGCTTCAGCACATACAGTTGCATCATGGCATGGCGTACTTTTAAGGTCTTCTTCAAAATCGGTGCCGACTTAAAGACCACCAGCATCATTACTCGCGAGTGCTTCCACTTAATCAGTTTGTTGAGAATGCGCAGCAGGTTGATGCAGGAGAACACGTTGCGCCAGGAGTACGGCTTATCCGACATCTCTCCACCGTACACAAAGCTGTCCCCACTCAAATCCGGCTGTTCGCCAATCACACAAGACGGGAAATCGAGCAGAGGAATGGAGTTCTTGGTGTTCACGTACTCCGTGATTGTCTGGTTGAAGAACTTCAGCACCAACGGGATGCAGTTGGCAAAGACCAGGTGCTGGGACATGAACTCGAACTGGTAGACATGGTTAATCTTGAAGTGCTTCAAGTAGAGCAGGATGATGGCCGAGACGGCCTTTACAATGATCTCCCTGTGCCGTCCCGTGTCGACGTTGAGCTTAGTGGTTTGCGTGGGGGTCAGGGGCGACTTCTTGGGTAGCACATCGGCCAATATGTTGATGCTCTCCGTCTTGGACTTGGAAGTGGGCGAGGCCGCTAGCAGGACCTTCAGCAGGGCGATCATGTACTGCGGCAGGTTGGGCAGTATGGCCTGGTACAGAACTTCCGCCGGCGTCAGCTTAATCTCGTCCTCGTGCGTGGATATGGGATTCCTGGCAATATCCTCCTCCTTCTTGATCTGCACATCCGCTAGACTCATGTACATGTGTCGTTGCAGCGTCTTGAAGCCTTCGTGAATGGGTTGCGGCAGTCCAGCCAGACTTTTATGGTCCCCAATCAGTGAATACCCAATGAACTTGTTTCTTGAAATGTCCAGGAACTGATCGATGTCCTTCTGCCGCACCTTGGGCGTCCAGGGCAGGCGGGCCGTGATCTGCACTGGAGGCACAGCAGCGGGGGGCTGTGTCAGGCTGGGCTGGTTGTTGGGATTGGCCGTCGAGGTGGTGGAGGCGGATGAAGAGGGATCGTCATACGGCCGGTAGTACTGGGAGAGCTCCTCCTCTCCATTTCCGCCATTGCCACCGCCATTGTTGGCATTGCCCTGGCCCTCATTGCCGCTCATCTCCATGTCGATCTGCTCCGGTTCGTCCAGGAAGCGCTGCTTCATCAGGGAGCGTCTGTTGGAAAGGTATAAGAGTTAAAATAATGTATATAGTTGATGTCAAGACCCCTCTCACTTGAAGTTCCTTTTGGGATACTGATTCTCAAGTATATCAGTGGCCGTGGCGGGTGGTGAACTGGCCCTCATGCACTTGGTTACCTCCAGTGTGTCCTCTGTGATGGGTTCCAGACCTACCTTCTGCCGGTACTCGTTCTTGAGATTCTTGAGCACATCCATACCCCCAAGTCCCAGAAGTGAGACCTTCCAGAGCAGTAGAACCACCTTCTTCATGGGAAACTGCGGGGCTGCGCCGCTGCAAAACCTTGTGATCATGCCCAGCAGCTTAACGGCCAGGAGTTCGCCATCTGGCAGTGGGGAATTGATTTCCTGGACAAAAGACTCGGCCAGTTCCTTGTAGTCCTCGCTGCCGCGATCCCGCTCATCCCGAACGGTCTCTGTTATGATGTACAGCACGGACAGGATGACCCGGATGTCCGTGGAGTCTACTAGGGTAACATTGGTGATCTTAACCGCCACGATGTCCGGGGAACAGGCGCTCTCGATCTCCATGTTGAGCAGGTCGATGAAGGAGGCAAAGACGCCGAGTTGGTGAAGCACCAAGACATTATCCCTGGTGATCTGGTGCTGCTCCTCGTCCGACTGAACCTCAGCCCAGCATCCCTGGGCCAGGTACAGGATGCAACGGGCGGCCTGCATGCGAAAGGTTCGATCGGAGACCTCCAGTTGGTCCACCAGCTTCATCACTATTCCGCGCTGCGAGGCCGAGTCCTGTTTTTGCCAGTTGGGCGGCAGATCATAAAGCTCCATCTGATCCTCGAAGGCCTTCACATTCATCTGGAACTCACTGAACTCCGTGTAGCTGTAGAGCTCGGCAATCTCGTTCTGGTAGCCATCCACGTCGGAGTACACGAAATCCAGATCGGGACCATCGCAGTTGGCATCCGCGTCGTGGGTGTCCTGTTCGAAGGAGTTGTTTATGGATGAGAGCATCATTTCGGGAGCTCCTTTTCACCACAAGGGGATCTCTTTGTGTGAGTGTATGTGTGTTGGTGTGCGGGTGTTAGCCGTGTGTGTTTGTGTATCCTGCGGCGGTGGGCGGTGCGCCTGAACTGGGCGTGGCTGCTCCTGCTCGCTGTCTTCCGGCTCTCTCTGTTTCTCTAACAATTGAACATTCTAAGCATTTCTAGGTTCATTTCACTTGGATTTTGTCTATAAATTTCACTTGGAAATTTCACGCCAATAACAAAAAAAATGCACAATGGAAAAAGAAGAAAATTCGTGCGACCGTTTTCTGAGTGGGTGGAAAAGACTAAAATACTGACGATCTGGCAGGGCTGTCAAAACGGGTCTGGCAGCGCTGACTGGGTCTACTCGTTTTTTTTCAAATTTGAATTGGATGGTGGATCTAAGGAAAATATATTGAATTTGTACAGTACATCTCTAAAAAGTAATCTTGAACAAGACACTTGACTAAATCTAGAATAAAACGATGTAATTCTTTACAAATATGATTCGGGTGTTTTGGTAACCTGTGTATTAAATTTAAATTAATTAAATAACAACTTGACCTAAAATATATTATTTTCATTGATTAAATTATTGATTAATTATTAAAAAACTGAATAAGACAAAGCTTAGTATTATGCTTGACCGATTGATTTAATAATAATGAAGAATATAACATAAACGTCAATTTACTTATTCGCTTCGTTCTGTACTTCGATCAATGCTATTCCAGCCTTAACTTTAACCTTAGAAAGCTAATGATTTATTACTTAAAATAAGGTAGAATTGTTTTCTTTTAGTTGAACTATTTATTTTTTTACCGGCGTAGTTTAAAAATAAAGCTTTTTCCGCGCCAGACCTGACCACTCTGAAAAAGCGTAATTCCAATGTGGCCAGATGAAACTAATTTAACGCTTTCTTCAAGAAAATTACGCACACCTATAAAATAGGGTTGTTGCAAGTCGCCGGTTCTAGTTTTATTTACGCTTCGAAAGAAAGTAAAGTGCTAAGATTAATCATTCATATTGCGACATAAGTAAGCCCAAACAATTAAATCCAGCCACCGACGAGTGTTTTGTTGCCGATAAAGCATATCAGCCGTGAGGCACAGCTGCCATCCAATAACAAAGAAAGGGAAAACAATCGAAATCTGTACTTTGCACCCTATTTTCGTACATATCAGCGTGATTCTGCAAAATCAGTCATTCTATATTTGTATCCCTGCATCCGAAAATCAGTTCAGTCCGTGGTGAAATCGGAGATATAGTCGCACTATACATATATCGAACAATGGCCGGCCGTTCCATCGCACACTTTTTTTTCGGGTCCATAGCAATTGCGCTGGGCTCGTACATCTACTTCACCATGCAAGTAATTACCCGAACAAATAACTATCCTTTCAAATTGCTGTCGAATCAACTGGCAATAATAATAATGGCTTGCATGCGAAATAGGCAACAGTAACGAGGGGGCCGCTTCCGATGACGTGGGCCAATCCTGACCAGGTTAGAGGTCATTATCGCGTGGCCCAATCCTGGCCAATGGCCATTACATCGCGTGACTCATCACTCATCGGGAATACAGGCCGAGTCCCTGACTTTGACCCTGATGCATTATGCATAGTCACCCTGACCACTGGTCGAATCAATCCGGATATAGGATTGGGGTGCTGATAACCACCTCATAAATACTTAACATTCAGACGGCCTTATCAACTCCCAAACATTTGGAAATCGTATAATCTTAAATGATTATTATTGGTCAATCAGAAAACAATATAAAGTATAAACAGGTGTATTTGGAACCACTATCTCTCACGAAATTAGAATGATAACTATTTGGGTATATTCTAATTTATCAGTTGTTATTAAACTATTCAGCTTATCCGAATTCAAAACTCAAAAAGTGTATAATCTTTAATGCTGATCATTGGTGAATCATAAATAATCTATTAATAATCCTAAACTTTTTCAAAAGATAGAAAAATATTAAGGAATGACACTTGACCTATTATTACACAGAAAACAATCTACAAGTAAAATCTTCCATAAAATGAACAACATTGAGTCATATTGTTATTTATAGGATTATAGGCAAAGGCATTCCTAAAGTTACATTTAATAGATTACCACTCAAAAAGATTTCGAAATATATTTAAATTTCAGTAGTTAACCATCTATGGATCAACAGAAAGTATCAACGTTCTACTTTCCTAAGTTATGGGTTTTCCAAAATAAAACCAGCCCAAGTTTTATAGCTCTATTTTAAAAAGATTTTAAAATACCTATAATAACCAGTTTATCTCATTTATTTTGGTTTCTTATCATTATAAATATATAATAATTATTGTTAGCCAACTCAAAGCTCTCTTAATTACATTTTGTGTACTAACATTTTAAATAATCTTAATGCTTTTCAAAAATAAAATTATGCCTAAGTTAATATTCTCAGACCAGATTTTAATGTCAATAATTTGGTTTACTTTTCGTTGACACAACCTTTCCTTATTTTCATCAGTTAAATACTCCTACACTATTGTTCTAGTGAACTATAAAGTACACACTATTCTAATTAAAGTTCTGCCTGGTTATTTGCAGCGATTAAAGTATGAGTCTCAGGCAGTTTCAGAACATTTCCCGCCAGGCCCTCAGGTGCTATTCAATCAGGCGGACCCTTTGCCCCGCCCTCGAGCTGAGTCAGGGTCAAAGGCAGGGCCTGCGCCTCTGCACGGTCCTCCTTCCCGTGAGCTGTGCCTCGGCCACATCCGCCACTTCCGCCTCCTCGGCCGCCCAGTACTCCACAGCAGCTGCCGTGAGTAGTGCTGCCAGTTGATTAGCTCTTAATCCGTTGACTAACTAACCCAGTAGCTTGTCTCTATGCCGAACTAATCGTTGTTGCCTCTGCCTTTGCCTTTGCCTGTGTTCTCTGTGTTCTATACTTTATCCTCTGGGGAAAGGGTCGATTTTGATACAGAATGTTTGAAAACTTCAAGGAAAAGTGATCTGTCAATAATTATACTATCAAGTCTTATAGGAAATTATCGTTAAACAACAATTTTTGTTTAATCGCCATTAACAATTGTATTCCATCGCAATGACAAAACAAAATCTCAAAAATAGAACTTGTTGTGAAAATTGTTTATACTTTCTTATCTATTCAGTAACACCTGCGTTAGAGTGTGAAATTTTACCACCTGACTTTTTACACTTATGTATATGTTAGGAGTTTAATTATTGATGTCAAAAATAGATAAGATAATTTCGGATGTCAATGTTTTATAAAAAGGTTGGTGAAAACTAATTAGCAAAAATTCTAGATTAAAGCCACTATATTGTAATTTGAAGTATGTGAATAGGTATCAAAAATTACAACGCAGTTATTCCTAAATTATTTAGAGATTACTTTTACCTTTCCAAATTACTCTGTCAACAAATCGACCCGTCCTCTTTATACACACAAATAATACTCCTTACTAACTCCTCGCTTTTCCCTTGCTTCCAGATCGACATGTCTGCTAACGGAGATTACAAGAACGCCGCCTCGATTTATGAGTTCACGGTGAAGGACACCCATGGCAATGAGGTTTCGCTGGACAAGTACAAGGGCAAGGTGGTCCTGGTGGTGAACATCGCCTCCAAGTGCGGACTGACCAAGAACAACTACGAGAAGCTGACGGATCTGAAGGAGAAGTACGGCGACAAGGGCCTGGTGATCCTGAACTTCCCGTGCAACCAGTTTGGATCACAGATGCCAGAGGCCGATGGCGAGGCCATGGTGTGCCATCTGCGCGACTCGAAGGCCGATATTGGCGAGGTCTTCGCCAAGGTAACACCGATTGCTAATGCAGCAGACCAGTATAATAACTCCACATTCCCGCAGGTCGATGTGAATGGAGATAACGCGGCGCCCTTGTACAAATACCTGAAGGCCAAGCAGACGGGCACTTTGGGCAGCGGAATCAAGTGGAACTTCACCAAGTTCCTGGTGAACAAGGAGGGCATCCCCGTCAACCGCTATGCCCCGACCACCGATCCCTTGGACATATCCAAGGACATCGAGAAGCTGCTGTAGATGTCCCCTGGATAAAATGTTATCGCATGGACTGTGTTTTTCGCGTAGCTTTAGCTTGTAACCGCCTGGCCACCAAATAGTATTTTGTGGCTGGCCACATGCACCGCATGTTATATATATATATTGTCTACTCTTTACTGGTTTTTGATTCCCACCCACAAACACAATAAACGACACTTGTGGTTACCACACCATCTGATGGCTTCTTGGCGATGCAGGGCACGTATTTGGAGTGGAAGCGGCGCACTTACCATGTCGAGACGGGCCCGTTGAATGCGCTTGGTCAATCCCGCAAAGTGGCAGACAACGGCGACTCCACTTTGGATGCACTGCGTCTTTGCGGTCTTGAGGATGTTGATGTGATTGCACAATTGGTGCCAGGACATCGCCGTTACAGTTTGAAACTGGTCCTCGATCTGGAGTTTCAGGTTTCTGTATGGAGCTAGTTTTGTTAACTGATCTCCCATTTTTGGTATGTCAAAATTGAGTAGAAAAGGGAGTTCCAAAGAAAATATTCGGTTTACCTTTCCAGATTTATAATTCAACTAGTTAATCCAAAGTGATAACAATTTGATACTCATTTCTTAAAAGATTATAAATAAATCTACCCTATCTTTACATCTAAAATAATTTACTCAAATTCACCAAATATATCGGCATACCCTTTAAAACTTATTTTTCTAAACTGATAAATTAATCTAGTTGATAGTTATTATTCGCTTCTAAATTAAAAAAACTGGTTTAACTTTGTGAACAAGTAAGTTTTAATATATTTCATTCCCTTGATTGAATTTACTAAGCAAAAAAAGAACCTCGATCAATTAGTGTGAATAATAAATTTCAAGCCATATTTGACTTGGAAAATCGTTTAAATGTTTTAATGTTAAACTAAAATTTCTCCTTTTATTTTTCCCACTCTTCTGCTTAATATTTCCCCCACATTTGACTTTGACTTTATTTGTTTTTAAAACGGCTTGCACAAAAATCAGAAATACTTCACATTAACCTTTACCTTCTTTTCGAATTCGAGTGCTTGTATTGGCAAAATATTCGCCTAACTTCCATTGCGCAAGTTTGCCTGACCAGCACCCCCAAAATCGATTCCATCAGCCCATTGGGGGATCTCCAGTTGCTCCTCCTCCTCCTCCTTCTCCTCCAGTGGAGCAGTTCAACGTCTCGGCTCGGATTTCAAGTTCAAACGAGTTGCCAACGGAGCTGCGATTCCGACCTTCCGACAATTACACGAAAATGCTGCACTGCCCAAGTACGGATGCCATCGAAATTTGGAGTCGAGATCAGATCAGGTGGAAAAAAAGCTATATCTAAGATCTGCAATTAAGTTGTTGATCCTTTGGGATGTGTATTTAAATATTTACATTTTTCGGAATTCGAAATTCATAGCCTTAAATCTGCACAAATACAGTGTATTGCATAAAAACTATATTTTAAATTGAATTAAAAACAGAGTTGATAAAAAAAGGAATGTCGGTAATTTATACATTTTATAACAAATAATCTAAAATCTAAAAACTTTATACCTTTCCCAATCTTTGTCCATTTTTCATGTACATGTTTTGTAATATGGCTTCTATATCCAATTCCTAAAATAAGAAAATCCAGTCTTAAATATTTACCCCACTTTTAGAATTAATTCCCAATATCAGGTCGACTATTCTCTCAGTGTTGGTGCGTGCCACACAAGTGTGAAGCGATGACAGCAATTTGTTGAATGCATCATCGATCAAATGCGATCGCTCCATCACCGGGTCGAAATGCCTTTAATTGTAGAACTGGGTTAAGCATCTGAGACTCATCCCTAAACAGTTTGGCCCAGGTCAGTATCGGAGCTATCAAAGCTACTGTAGCTATTGCTATTCCCATTGACTGCAGTTGACTTTGACACTGATCGCGATTGCGATCGCTCCCCCAATTCGAAATCCGATTCCACCTGAAATTGAAATCCGTATAAATATGCGGAGCACACTCCACCGATCGATCAGACAGCTTTAGCGTTGGTCAGCTTTGGAGGTGGTCAGCAGTGATTGGACTCCGCAAGTAGGACTTGGATTTCGGACAGGATCAGAACAGAATGCTGCGAGGACTGCTGGTGGTGGTGCTGGTGGCCTGGAGCCAAGTGGATGCGGCCACCCACGTCAACATCTCGATTGCCCAGCAGCCGGCCACGAATCCGGCGGATGTTAAGTACTTGGAGGGCAGTGCTCCGGCGGAGCTGAGGGCAGGTCCTCACATGGACGAGGATCGGCAGTTTCAGCGCATCCAGGAGCGACAGCAGCAGGTCCAACCCCAATCCCAATCCCAGCAGCAACAGCAACAACAGGTGGTTCAAACCCAGCAACAGCAGCAGCCTCAGCAGTTGTCCCCTCGCCAGGGATTGGGATTACAGCCTCCGGCCCAAGGTCAGCCACCCATGTCCAAGAACGGACGACTGCCCCGCCGGAGGAACCACAGCAGACGCCCCTCGATCCACCAGCAGCCACCGAGTCCTCACAGTGGCCAGTTCCGGCAGAGGAACCAGCAGCTCCGCCAGAACCAGGAGTTCGAGCGGTACATCCAGTCCTACCACAGCCATGGACCCACTGTGGAGACGGTGAGTGCAGGAATTCATTTAAATAATATTACTAAAGGTTTTTTAAACTAAAGAAGACGAATTTTGTAAGTCTCCCTTCTTCACTTTTAAAGTACATTTTTTTCAAGAGGCATTCCAATCCTACTTTAACTTCACTGACTTTTTAGTCGATTTTTTAAAACCTTAAAAAATAATTTTAATAATTTAATTTTAATTTAAATAACACTTTAAAATCCACTGTGAAGATGGTCAGTCCAGAAATTAATTTAAATAATATTACTAAAGATTTTTTTAAACTCTCTCTTTATTGACTTTAAAATAACATTTTTTTAAACAGGCATTCCAATCCTACTTTAACTTGTATTTACTGACTTTCTAATCGAATTAAATTAAAACCTTCAAAACACATTTTGAAATTAAAGAAAACTTAAAAACCTATAATTGGGACGGTCAGGGCAGGAATTCATTTAAATAATATTATTATATGTTTTTGAGTCTTTCTTCTTGACTTTTAAAGTACATTTTTTTTAAGAGGCTTTCCAATCCTACTTTAAACTTATATTTACTGACTTTTTTAATCGAATAATTTAGGAACCTTCAAAAAGCATTTTTAATTTAAGGAACACTTAAAAAATCATGTAAAATATTATGATGAAATGTATTAGCTTACAATTCTCAATTCTTACCTCAATTAAGAGCATATCATTTTAAACATATTGTTTTGATAGAATAATAACAGTATCTAAAAACTTGTTTAGTGCAACACTTTCTAATATTTCTTTTTATAAAGAAATATCTCAGAATCGAAAAATATTTTTTCAAGGGTAATAATAAAATATGTGCCCTGATTCCCAGGTCTACGAGTCATCGAATCCCGCCCCCCAGCGCTACACCCAAACCAGCTCCGGAGTGACTTCCTCCATGGATGATGCTGCTCCCCAGAAAATGGTCACCATTGGAGGTGGACATCGATCGCAGCAGCTGAGGATGTTCGAGCGCCAGGTGGCTGCTCCCGTTTCCAGTCAGGGTCAAAGTGCAAATGTGGAGGCGGCACAGGACAGCAAGCCCATCTACGAGCCAGCTCAAGCGCCCATCCAAACGGCCAACATTGCGCCGGCCGTTAGTTCCAGCTCGTCATCCTCGGGAGGAGCCAGTTCCTCTTCCTCCTCGTCATCGAGTGCTGCCGCTCCCGCTGCTCCTTCCCTGCCATCTGATGCCTCTTCTGGCTATGACTCCTCATCCGGCTTCAGCCCATCCACCAGCTACAATCGTCCGAGCTACGACCCCAGTGGGTTCAGCTACGAGGATGCCCAGGAGGTGGAGTACCAGGATCAGTATCCCCCAGAGGTGGATGACGCTCCGGGCTACGAGGACTACGGGGAGCAATCGGGATACCAGGGTGGATCGGGCTACCTGCCACCGGCTCCTCCGAGGGGATATACTCCTCCACAGCGTCCGCTGGTCACCAAGACCATCCAAATAGTGCAGCCCGCTCTGAAGGCCAAGAAGTACGAGGTGCGTCATCCGGCCATCCAAAAGGAGTTCTACGACATCGAGGAGAGGGTGGTGATCAAGCCGGCGGGAACTCTGGTCGTGGAACTGGAGCACCCGGTGGCCAAGATCCCCAAGGGAGAGACGCTCCTGCCCCTGGGACATCCCCATCCCGCGGTGGCCTCCGCCTACAGCAACAACAACAATGGCCAGATCCAGACACAGAACACATACAACGGTGGAGCGGAGTACAGGCCATCCTATGATCAGCCTGCGGGTGCCAAGGATCAGCAGACCACCACCATTGGCTCCAGTGTGACCACCATGCCCTCCTACGACCAGGCGCCCAAGGACGACTACGTGGAGTCCCGGTTGCAGCAGCAGCAGCCCCTGGGCGATGTCACCGATGGCAACCAGAAGAACCCCTCCTTCGTGACCGGAGTGGATGGCCAGGGCAACGCAATCAAGATCAACACCAAGCACCTCACACCCAGCATGGTCCAGCGGGCGGAGCCGGAGCAGGAGTACCAGCGGTCTGGCCAGCGTGTGTACCAGCAGAGGAACAACTTCAATCGCCAGCCGTACAACGAGGACGACGACTACTTCTCGGGCGAGTACCTGCCCAATGTGAGTGCCGGCAGTGTGGAGGCCAAGCCCGCCCGATTGGAGCTGGCCGAGGAGGAGGAGCGACCCACCCAGATCATCAAGCACGAGCACAAAATCCACCTGCCGCCCTCGCAGCACAACATTTACCTGGGACGCAGCCGGCAGGTTCCCCTTAAGGAGAGGAGAGTCCAGGAGGTGCCCGCCCAGGTGAGCGAGATCAAGCCCTATCTGAAGAGCCACTCTGGACCCACGGTGGTGTATGCCAAGACCCAGTCCCCCAGGACCTACTACAACCAGCCATCCAGACAGCGAGTGGCCGAGGAGCTGGACTACAGTGCGCCCTACTCCCAGATGAGGTTCAGTCCGGACGACCGATCCTCCCGCTTGGTCCAGTCGCCCCAGGTGAGATACCGAGCGGAGAGTGCGTCTGCCAGGCTGGTGGAGGCACCTCCCAAGCGGCAGGAGGAGGTCAAGAAGGAGCAGAACACCCACATCCAAATCCAGATAGCCAATGACCAGGACAAGTCGGCGGTGGTGGCCACCACCATTGCTCCAGACTGCGATAAGGGGCAGCAGCGAGCCGAACAGAAGTCGCAGCGCTTGGTGGAGGCACCCAATTCCGAGGTGTCCGCCACCCAGGCCACTCCCGCGCAGACGAAGTCCCAGCCCGACGTGGATGTGTCGCAAAATGGAGCCGCCGGCCATCTGAAACCCAATGAGCGGGTTATTGCGGCCACCGCCGCTCCCACAGACGCCTCGGCCACCAGTGAGACTTTCCACAAGCGGCGCATCGTCGTGAATCACCCGTTCCAAACGGTGCGCGAGGTGGTGGAGCACGAGCCCTTCACCAACTACCACCAGATCCAGGTGAACGAGCCGGCTCCCCCCTCACACTATCACCAGGCCTACTACCAACCGGCGCCACAGACACACGGGAGCTTGGTCCACTTCCAGACGTCGTCCACACATGGCAACCTTTACGCTCCATACGGATAGATTAGGATTGGGGGAATCTCCGAAGCCGAACCACGAACGAACCCGGCCAATGCATTTCCTTTGTTAATTGTTATCTTAGTTTTAGGATAGATCCTTTAGGTAGAACCCAAACCGGTGGAAGGGCCCTTTCCATGACGACCCTGATCTTCTTTCGCATTAACTCGGTTTAATCGCCTAGCCTTAAGTGCAGTTTTACTTGCCATCAATAAAGTGCATAAAAAATGCTAAAAAACTAGTTTCTTATATCATTCTGAAGGAATTTTTGATGAGTGATATTATCTTACAAATTCTGAGTTCTGAGCAAAGTGAGGCATTCTAATGGAAAATCATATTCTTCAAATAATGCTTTATCATAATTCTGAGGAATGATGAAACACCAATTATAAATATATAAAGGTTTGGTTTTTTATTGTGATATCACATACATGGCTATACATTTGTTATACAAAAATATCTTATATTTCAAGCTAGAGAAAACTTTTCCTAAAATATAGTGGCTTTTATATATCGAACAAATGCTAAGCTGACAAGTATTAGGAATCAAATAATAACTTTCTGCAGTGTTATTATCATATTTGAAGAACTTTTAAGCTTATAGTGTTACTTGCCATGTTCCTATGATGTCATGCCTCCTCCATGCCATTTAAAAATATTCATTCTTGCATAAAAACGGGGGGATTTCCCCTCAATAGACTTTCTGTCTGGTTGGTTACGCTCGTTTGACCTTTCCCAGATGTTCATCATCACTGGATTCGGATTCTGGGCCAGCCAATGCTTTTGGTCTCAATGGCGGCTCATCATCGCTGGAGGAGTCCAATTCAGCGTATGGACGAGCTGTGGTCACTACTTTTGGCTTCAAAACGGGTTCATCCAGATCGGAATCGTCCGAAAGTCGAGCTTCAGCTCCGCTTAAAACGTTGGCTATTTTTTCCGTTTGGGCTGAGATTACAGCAGGATCTGTGGATGGAGTCGACAGCACTGCAGCCGTGATCAGCGTCGAAGTAGAAGGAGCGTCCAACTCGGGTTCTAAACGGATAATAATTACAATATATGAAGCCTTCGACTAATGGACATTTTCTCACCCTCCTCGTTGAGCAAACCGTGGTTGGCCTCTCGCCGTTTGGTCACCACAATTGCGGTGAAGTAGAAGGTGAAAATGGGCAGCAGGACAACTACTCCCACGGCAATCAGGAAGTTTGTCAGCTTAACTTCGCGTTGACAACAATTCAGGGTTTTGGACCAGTTCAGTCGCGTGCGGTTCATCTAAAAAAGAAAATGGTATTAGTCATTTTCGAATTCAGAGTATGAGATTTAAAAATAAAGCTTTGTAGGCATACAAAATGAGTATACTAAAATCGATGATGAGTCTCATATACTTACATTATCCTGCAGATCAAAACACACTTTTCCACCGACATTAGATTCCATTTCATGGTAGAACTGGTTCAAATCAAGATAAAATGGTTTACAAGCCAAGCAGACCTCATCGGACTTAAACTTTTCCAAGCAATCCCTTAAATCGATGGATCTATTGTCGTACTTGGACCAATAATCATCCCTGAAGCAATCTGAAGAATAGAGAAGAGGAGTGACTCAGAGGTAACCCATAAACATAGAAGTTGGGGAATCCCAGAAACTAACTGTCGCAGTTCGCCTTTTGCCACATGCTGGTGAGGATTCCCTGGGTGGTGGCCACTATGTTGATCCTGTCCGAGTTCAGGTACTTCTTTGAGCAGTTGGCATCCGCGATGAGGTTCTCGTAATCCTTGGTGAGATTCTTATAGAGTTCCGCGCATCCGATGCAGAGATTCACGGGCACCGCTTTTGTGGTGGCGCAGTAGATGAACTTGCTCTGGCCATCGCCCAATTCGCCCACCAGCTTGTCGCAGATCTTGTTGTTTAGGGCCAGCAACAGGTTAACCCGGCAACAGAGGGTTAAGAACAGCCCTACGAAAACAAAATAACTCTGCATGTTTGGTTTGTTTTGGATTCGACTCCCCTTTTGTCCTACAAGTGTGACCAAAGTCGTTTTGCCATTAATAACAGCAAACAAAGATAGAAATATCTGGCAACGCCACCGACAAGGCGCAAATTTTAAACTTTCTATTTAATCTTCATCTATATTTAAAGAAAATATTTTATTTGCATAACTCAATAAATGGAACGCCGTTTGATATTCTATGCGCAATGTGATAACCTTTCTTTCTTCTTATTAATTGTAAAGTAAACCGCTTTGCCTGAATTAATACAAAAAGATCTCAATTTATAAATAGATTCTGATGTTTACTTGTTCATTAAAATTTCCATTCAAGCTGGTGATTACTCTTAACTTTGATCAGCAGTTAAGTACTCAAGTGAGATATTTTATATTGGATATTGTACTTCCCTAAACGTACTCTAAAATAAACTTGAAGGTGAGTCAATTTTGAATACGAGCGTAAGTCAATAAAGGTATATGCATTTATTTATTGTATTTATTTATCATTTTATACAGAAGCAGGGTTCTCATTGATTGTCCAACATCGCAGGATTAGTATGTAAGTCCTGTTTCAGCATCCTTCACACCAGCACTGCAGCCTGGAGCTGCAGTGTCCGGAGACTCGTCCTCCTCCTTCCTCCCTGCAGACTCGACGGCAGGTCTCATTGTCCCAGACGGCACAGGGACCCCTATATCTTCCGGAAAGACAGTCGGCATCCGCTTGGTGGGATCCCAGGACCACCAGCATCAGGACAGCGAAGAAGGTGAACAACAACTTGATTTGCATCATTTTGGGTTGAGATTGGTCAGATCGGGTAGTTCTCTGGTAGAATTAACTGGAGATATTATTGAATTCCGTTCCTCGGATGAACTTATATAGGGCTGGACCTGCCTACCTTGCTGCCAGCGTCAATTTATCAGCAGATGATAAATAAATATTTACTATTTGTTATAAAGAATGAAGTCTGAAAGCCCTAACAATGCAAGCCAAATAACACAATTAAAGATTAAGACTGCTTTCATCTTAAATCGAATGAATTGTTTACGCGAGCACAAGCAATGATAATATACATTTTAAACTCAAGGCTTTCTATTCACTATGAATCCTCTTATTTTCAAGTTAAATGCTCTATATAGACAGCCATTGTGTTTCTTAAAAATTTCGTATAAAAACTATATTTTCTTTAATGCAAGGAGGATTAATAGAGCCATTTTTTCAGTGTAGCTAACTCCGCAAATAGCCGGGACCCACACCACAGCCAGCTGGGACTTACTCCGCTGGTGGCGGTAGCAATACAAAAATGGGTGATGGAAGCACATTAATGTTCCCTGCCAAAAATCAATCTTTGGCGGAAAACATCAAAGTTTCATCGATATTTAAAAAAATTAAATTTTAACCAAACATTAGCATTAAGTTTTCTCTACCTCTAATGGAGTTCTTGTGGTTGTTGTTCTTGTTCTATTAAATCTTTGGAAAATAAAATTCGATTGGGGGATATGCTTAGCCAAATCTGCAGTGCCTGTAGAGTTAAGTTAATGAAATTGATTTGATTTGCTTTACACAATAAATTAAATGCCATTTGATATCCTTTCCGTTTTTTGAAAATAATTTAAAATGTCGGCTCCCGTTATTAAAGGGTATCTTCTTCTCAATTATAATTGTTATAAATTGTCTTATTAAATTAATACAAGATATCAATTTATAAAAGATTATGGTGTGTACTTGTTCATTAAACGTTCCATTCAATTTGCTGATTACTCTTAACTGCTGATCAAACCAAAAGCACTCCCCCCACAATGGTAAACATTTTAATTTTTTTCCTTGTTAAATCTGTAAACAAGCATTCAGTAAATTACAGATAAATTGATGATGAATATAAAAAATAGCGATTAAAAAAAAGAAGATTCATTCAATGAGGGCATGCTAAAGCGTTTCCGTAATAAACTATACTTTCGTATACATTAAATAAGAATTTCTATCAAAGAAAATTTATTTTTAATCCTTAGGTTTTGTATTTATATACTTTAATATTACTTTTTTGGAGCCGAAAATAATAAATTATAAACCACTGAGATCTGTAAGTTTCGTCGTCAGTAATGAGGCAATTTTCTTAAAAATTTCAATATAGATTGTAGACCGACGGGACTTTAATAGAAATATTAACCGAGTTTTAGGTTTAAAAATAAAAATTTTCCATTAGAATCACATTAATAAATTTTAAATGCCCTATAATTGAATTGGCTCATATATACATACATATATGACAACGATTTGAAAACTAATGATCCTGATCGACAGTTTAATCATCTCCTAAATAATGATTTTTTTATATTGGGTGTTGTATTTCCCAGAACGTACTCTACAATAAAACTTGAGGGTGACTCAATTTTGAATACGAGCGTAAGTCAATAAAGGTATTTGTTTTAATGTATTGTATTTATTTATTGTATTTATTTTTTATTGTATACACAAGCACAGTTCTCATTGGCTGTCGAACTCAGCAGGAGAAATATGTATGTCCTATTTCAGCATCCTTCGCACCAGCATTGCAGCCTGGAGCTGCAGTGTCCTGTGACTCGTCCTTCTTCCTTGCACAGTCTACGGCAGGTCTCTCTGTCCCAGACGGCACAGGGACCCCTGTATTTTCCGGAGAGACAGTCGGCATCCGCTTGGTGGGATCCCAGGACCACCAGCATCAGGACAGCGCAGAGGGCGAAAAAGTATTTGATGTGCATCATTTTTGGTTGAGATTGGTTAGATCGGGTAGTTCTCTGGGGCAATTCACTCGAGATAGTAAAGAATTCCGATCATCGAATAATCTTATATAGGGCTGGATCTGCCTAGTTCGCTGTCAGCGTCGATCGGCGTAGGGCTTAAATTCATCAGCAGATGATAAATACATTTTCCTTATTTGTTATAAAGAATTAAGTCTGGAAGACCTAACAATGCATACCAAATAAAACAATTAAAGTTTAAGACTGCTTCCATGAATGGCTTAAGCGACCATAAGCAATAAGAGTATTAATTAAAGCTTATTGCAGGCTAAAGTTAAAGTCTGGCTCATCGCTTTTATTCAACTTATTTTCGTTTTAATCGCAAAACATGGGAAACAAATTTGTACTATTAAAAATTTCCTATATTTATATTTATATAATTTCTGGCAACGCTACCAACAAGGCGCAAATTTTAAAAACAAAAACATCGATGACGCCCGAACAAACATCGATATTTCCGATATTTTCAAAATATCGATTACACCTGTGGGCATCGATAGTCTTCCACCTCTACTGGTCTATACCTATCTATAATTCCATAAGTTGGCCGATCGGCGAGAGCAAGGTGCGCGCGACAAAGTGATCCCTCCGAAAACCGCTAACAACTCAAAAAATAAATATCGCCGTGCAAAAAAAAGAAACAACAAGCGAGAGCCACTAAATAAACGTAATCAGCGTTTCAAATTCTCTCTATTTTGCGCTCTCTTATAAGCCGCTGTTCTTGTTGTTGTTCCTGTTGTAGTTTGTGTGCTAATTAGAAAATTCTAACGTTGTTGTTGCTGCGCCGGTGTTTAAAACGCGGCTATTTATAATTACTGCCTAAAAAGAGAAAAAAAAACCTACTAAGCTGGTTTTGCGTGTGAAAGCAACTGGTGTGCATTGGAATTTGTTATTAAGGTCGAAAAGCAGCAACAAGTGACAAAAATTCTTTGGCATAAATTAAAACAGAATCCCCAAAGTAAAGATTTCTTTGGTTTTAACACTTTTTCGGCTTGTGTTGTGTGTTGTTTTTGTAACCAAAGAACGCCGCTTATGGTCGAACCAACAAAAACAACTTTCCGGTTTTTCTCCTCCTACCCTCTCCTCGCTCCACACCCCCCATCATCCTCCACCATTCCTTCTCCTCCTCCTGTTCGCGTTCTCTTCTATTTTGTACAACCATCTTCGTCTGCATCTTTTAAAGTTTCTGTGTGTGTGTTTGTGGATAAGAAAATTAAGAAGAGGGGCGAAAGGAGGAGAAAGATCGCAGTGAAAACAGTAGGCGAAAAACAAATAAATACCGGATTTTATGTTAATTGCAGCAGCTAAGAAGAAGAAGCAGGAGTCCCGAGATCTGGATAATTTATATAGATTTTTGTGCGCCAGGATATTAACGTAAATCATTCACGCTGGATTTGGGATACTACGAGGCTGTTAAAGGTAAGCGAAAAAACCGGATTCGAAGTGGAGTAAAGGTCGTTATATAAATATGGGATGTTTTACGGTCCGATGCTCCACTTTATAAGCCAATAAACCCGGCGCAAGGTGTTGCATAATAGCGCTAGGGCTCCCAAACTGTACATTAAAGGGCATTCCCGATCCCGCCCGATCTTCCAGCCGTTCTACCAATCCTTTGTGGTCAAGTTGCGTGCGAACAAGTCGTAAAAGCTGCCAAGCTGTCATATACAGTCACACAGTATAATCTGGCTAAGAGCAACTTGGTCTGATATAAAAACATGTAAGATTGTTTAGTTAGAAACCTTATTTTGGAAATTTTTAGTTTTGTTAAAGTAATTCTATTACTAGAGTCTAACTTTTCACATTCAAGATTCTCAGTAAAAACTAAGACTTAAAAAATACTTGTGAAAAGATATATTGCCTTTTTCAGTATAGAAATATAATTTTCTGTGAAATTTTTAATAAATATAAATTATTTGTTTTTAATCTTTTTTTTATATAATCTAATTTACTTATATTTACTTCATAAAAGTCTTTAAGAACATAACTTAAGAAAGGTAGCTCTACAGAGGTTGGCCTGTAGTTCTGATGTGAATTAGCATAACGAGGGGTATGGGGTGCCCTCCCCCTTTTTCCCTCTTTGGGCACAGGTGTCTAAGCCAGGCTCTCTTATTTTTTTCTGGGCAGTGTTGGCCAGTCGTCGTAAACTAGGCTAAATAGGGTCTAAGCCAAAGCACGTTTTGGCTTCGCCCGTCCCGCTCCTCCCTTTGATCTAGCCATCTCGCTCTGGGCTTGGTTTATTTTTAAACCGCATTCCGCCTGGGTACTTTGCTTCTCGCTCTGTCGATCTACTCTCTCACTCGCTCATTAGCCGTTAAACTGGAAAGTTTTAGAGCCACTGAACTGAACTGTGATTTGCAAAGTGCAATGCCAATAAATGCATTCGCAAGACAATTGCCGTTTAAATTCAATTATACTTAACGGGTCATCGAGAGGCCAACGACTATCAACAAGGCCAAGTCATCGAATCGGGAGAAAGGAGAAGAGATTGGCGAAGAGATCGGAAGAAGGGGAAATGCCAACGCCCCCAATGTAGCAGCCCATTTTTATACAGTTGTGGCTATCGAGATAATCACTGTAATAATCATATTAAATGGGATCTAAAATTTCTAACTAACAGGTGATTATATCGTATCGAGAAATTACAAAAACAGTTTTAAAAAGATTTAAATGTTTATCTAGATGTCATAATGGTAGTGTTAAAGTAATACGTAATTAAATAATAATAATAAATATAGTCGATTGTTAAACTACCAATACATTTGTACCATCATCTGACAAAATATTTACCACTCGTAAAATTTTACGGTTAACTCGTTAAATATGGAATGTAAGAGACTATTTTAAATTTTTCTTGCAATATTGTAGTATTTAATAATACCAGTTTCCTTGTTTGATCTGAAGTTTATTTTCCGACCACAAGTGTGTTCCAGTGTAAACATATGCCGATCTCTGCAGGAAAAGTGCAACACCAGCGATAGGGAGCACTATTGCAATGACTGTAAAACTTTCCAGCACTATTCAATTCCTATTGGAGACCCAGTTGGTCCATTTTTGAATTCTTTTTACATTCCCCCTTGAACACCGAAACACACAGCCATACGACTGCACATGGACTTGTTTATTTCATTGGACTTTGTTGTTCTTTTTTCCAATTAGATGTCTGCACTGCAGCTGGCCACGTTCATGTAGCTGCACTCTTATTGGAGTTTTTAATGCGGCGTTCTTTGGCATATTTCGCAATTTGTGCGCTGTACTTTTTGTTTGTTTCCATTTCAAGTTCCCCGAGTGTCTGTCTCCCTTTCCCTTTTTTTGCCCAGTTGGCCAGTGTAAACTATGCATAAACCCATTCAAAATCAGCGAAAGAGTCAATCAATCACAGCTTTATTTTGGAACACACCGCCTGTCTATCAATCAAAGGCCATAAAGCGAATTTAGAACGAATTTTAGTGATTTTACGAAACCAGCCTTATCGCTGTGTCAGCTTTTATGAAGCATGTCTGTATATACAGTCCGATTTCTTTAAATTGAACTTTCCTTTGATATACATTTTGAGGAGAATATCCATTATATGAAAACATTTTTTTCCTGTTTGTTATACCAATAATATGATTTATAGAAAATATTAGGTACTGAACTATCTAAAAACTGTTTTCCAAATGAAATATTTATATTCCAAATATAATAATTACATTTTCTTAAAATATAAAAAGCAATGATTATCTCACAATATTTTTAAGAAGTTTACGACGATATAAAAAACTCCTTTTAGTAAAAACTGTTTATTATACGAGATTTTGTAATAACACTAAAGTAATACAATTTCATAGGGCAATCTCAATTGTATTTTGTACTTTGATCATTTTCGAGTGGGAATAAAATCAAAGGAACTGAGTCATAAAGATAAAACATATTATAATGGCTGTAATTGCCACAGTGCGAGCGATTGGGGGAGTTGTAATTACCTCTTAATTAATTGAAAGGCCGCTGCAGTTAATGGCAATTGACTCTCTGAACTCGGTTCTTCAGCAGAAGGCTTTTTACTGCTCCGATCTGTTGCAGTTGACAATGTCAAATACATGCATTCAATATTATTTAACATATTTGCGCTTATCTCTGGGTGCAAGTCCAACATCATTGATTGTGAATAATCTATACAAAAAACATTAAAAATAACTAATGTCACTTGCCAAATTGATAAGGAGCAGAGAACCCCTTTGGCAACAAATTCCATCTGGCACGATCAGTTTGAATGATGTGTTTTATGATTATCATGAGTATTTTCCTAAGGGGAAGACTAACCGGCAAGGCTATAAACGGTTTCATTAATTAATAAATGACTGATTATGATGAAATATACCATAGAATATAATTCTGTACGACCAAGTGGCTGGAGAAAACAGAAAAAGGTTTAAAATTCTATAAGTATTTTTAAACTTTACATATATTGGGACTGATCATTTTTAGTATTATTGGAACCGTGATATTAAAAAATTGCGAAAAGCAATAAATGATATTCAAGAACTTTTAGTATTATTGAAACTGATAGCAACGGTTTCTTTCTTTTTCCAGATTCTAAGTAATGCAAGAAACTCAAATATTTTGCAAAGTCAAGATTAAAAGATTGCTTCGTTATAAAATTTTTTTTCTATGCCTGCAAATTACTTGGAAAGTAATTAGAAAATAACCGTAAGTCGTGTGCAAAAAAAACCGCTATAGACTAGAGAATTTCTCGCTCTCTTTGGCTGCTCATTTCACTTGTCTATCAATTGTGTGGTTCTTCATGTCTTTTTTTTTGGGGCTTGGGAAAACTTGGCCAACACTGGCTTCAACCAGTTTTTTATGTTTTCCTGAGCGCGCGCCAAAAACCGAAAACTGAAAACCAGCAACAACGTGAAATGCACATTCAAGGCTATAAGCCAACAATAATAATGCCAGTAACAACAACTAAAAGTAAACTTGCTCAGGAACTGGTTT